ATGCAGCTCAGAGTGAAGGCCTTAGTTCAGTCCCAAGTACCACTAAGTAAACAAATAAAATAGAAATAAATAAAAGTACGTTTAAAAAAATGTTCTGGAGTCTGGCGTGGTGGCACACACCTGTAACGAGGATCACAAGTTCAAGGCCATGCTGGGCTACACAGAAAGATCCTGTGTCCAAAGAAAACAGAGAGGAAAAATGCTACGGAACATGGCCAGAGCCCTGGACCTCGCATGGCTAGGGCTAGGCCAGACCAAGAATTTCTGTCTCGGGCTCCTGACTGCTTTACTAAGCTGCCTGGAAGATGTCAGTTTTGTAAGCTGACATGTCGGTCTTTGTTTTGGTACTTAAAATGATCTGAACTTTGTTTCACAAGCAGGGTGCTTTTAAATTTTTCTTTCAAAATCTGAACCTTAGTAAAACAGGCTTATTGCCTAGGTTATTTTTCTCAGCATCCCATAATGCTGCATGTGTTGTTGGATTTACTACATATTTAATGGAAGAACAGAAGAAACCTGAGTAATACAAAGCAAGAGTTGTTCTCAGATTCAGAACATTTGTTAGGCATGGTGGTGCATGCCAATAATCCCAGCACCTGGGAGGCAGAGGCAGGAGGATCTCTGAGTTCAAGACCAGCTTGGGCTACATAGTGAAATCCTCCTTCTCTCTCTCAAAAAAAAATCAAAGCTCTTGTACAGTCTCACTTCCTGTTCCTCAGCACCCAATCTAGGAATCCCTAGGTGTTGCATGCAGAAAGTCCCCAACCCTGCCGGTGACAATGCCCAGCGAAGGCTGCGAAGGCTGCTGTAGTACTCCCCGAGTGCTGGCTTCTAAGTTGGTGACAGTCACCAAGGTAATGAGTGGCAGGGGCGGCCAGGCCCCCTGCACATGGAGGGGGGGGGGAGACGTGGAGAAAGGCACTTGCAGAACCTGGAGACTGCACCTGGTGTGCTGCTGCCTTACATTTGTGCTGCTATTTTGGCTGATGGTGACCAGGAGTTAATTAACTTTTATTCATCAACAATGCCACCTGGTGGCCAGAGAGCACATCTGCTGGTGGTCACACTGCACCAATCTTCATTTTTTTCTTTTATTGAAAAAAAAAATTGAGCCAAGCATGGTGGTGCACACCTGTAAACCTAGCCCTTGGGAGGCTGAGGCAGGAGGATTGCTGCAAGCTGAAGGCCAGCCTAGCAAGACCCTGACTCAAAAAAAAAAAAAAACCCAAGAAAGAAAGAAAATCAACAACAAAACTCAGGCGCATTGAGTCATTTTGCTCAGTGAAGTTTCAAGCAAGGCTTGATTTGTTGTGTCGGAAGCAGGAAGCCATTGGATGCACAGGTCTGACACCGCCCACTGAGCTGACTGCTTCCCCCTGTCCCGAACCCTCTGGGGAAGGCGAGGGTCATAAATACCTGCCACCAAGCCGGCTCTCTGGTCTCCTGCTGAGCTGCTTCCGGAGCCAGCCTTCTGACTCAGGGCCACTCCCTGACTGCTTCGGGGCAGTGTGGGCCTGTCTTCTGTGGAGAAAGAAAAGCTGTCAAAAGGTAAGCTGCACCTAAAACATACTGAAAATGTGGGTGGGTGGGTAAGCAGCAAAATTGAATTTTTTAAAACTTTTTTTGGTTTTTTTGAGATAGGGTCTCACTATGTAGTTTAGGCTGGTCTTGAACTCACTGTGTAGTTCACATTAGCCTCAAATTCATAGCTGTCCTCCTGCCTCAGCCTCCCGAGTACTGGGATTACAGGTGTGCACCACCAGGCCCCAAACAAAACTGAAGTTTGGACATCATTGAGTATGTTTTTTTTTTTAATTAGCAAATAGGAGTAGGATGACTCATAATAGCTAAATCTTGGAAGTGAGGATAAAGAAAATGCGGTGTTTAAACACAATGAAGTACTACTCAGCCATAAAGAAGGGTACATTTAAATCATTTGTAGGAAAACGGATGTACCTCGAGACCACAGTGTTATGTGAAGTAGATCAGACACACAAGGTTAAATGTTGCGTGATTTCTTTTATATGAGAAACTCAAAGTATAAATAATCTAAAGAGCTAAACAAAAGATAGATGGATAGTAGGAAACACAAAGATAGACCTTTTGCAAATGATAAGGGGCATCTGAGATGGAAGAGGCAGAGGGGGAGGGGAGGTAATGGAATTGGGATGCGTTAAGTCACAGCCAACTCCGCATGACATAAGCCATCCTGCCATGCAAACACACAAAGAACTACACCAGGTGTGGTGGCGCAGTCCTGTGATCCCAGCACTGTGGAGGCTGAGGCAGGAGTTTGAGGCCAGCCCGAACTATGTAGCCTGACCCTGTCTCAAAAACGAAACGTACAAATGAAAGAAAAGAAGAAAATAAAATGGGCAAATGGGGCAGACATACTCTGTCACGTCCTGACTAACAGTGCGGTGCCGCAGCCTCTGAGCTGTGGGCTCTGCTCAGCAGTTTGTGTCTTTACTCTTAGGCGGTCAGGCTTGGAGGCCAGCGGCTGAGCTTGAGAACAAGGCAGGAGAAAAGCAAAACCAAGCGGAAGCTTTTGAGGCTGAGTGTGCAGATATTGAGGTCAGACGTGGCCTGGGAGCGGCCTGGCGTAGAGGTAGAGACCACAGTTTTTGTTGAGAGAGTGCCCCTGCAGTGTGCAGGAGCAGGAGCCGAAGGCAAGTGGAGCTCTCAGTAAGCCTGCTTCCCTTCCACTCCTGCTAATGAGAAGCCTAAGGAAAATCACTTCCGGTTAATGAGTGCATAGGCCTTGAGAATGTCTAAGCAAGGGAACTGTATGGAGTCTGCCTTGGCAGATGGAAGCGGAGTGTGGCCCACAGCCTCTCCGCGCAGCTTCCGCCAGCTCTGGGTGCTGGAAGCCTGTGTGTCTAGACTCAGGTCTCAGGCACAGGAAGTCCCCCCAGCTGGGGGAGGGTCTGCCCTCGTCATGTGTGTCATCGGGCGCTGACATCCAGGTTTCCCTTTGTGCATTTTGTTGGTGCTTTTTTTGAGACAGGGTCTCGCTGTGTAGTCCAGGCTGACCTTGAACTTATGGCAATCCTCCTGCCTTAGCCGTGGCATTGCTCAGTGAAGGCTGGGTGTGCTAAAATGCTCGGAAGGCGCCTTTCCTTTTCTGGATTCCTCCTGGCGTTAGAACCGCTTCCAGCCTTTTACCTGAACTGAGACAGCCTGGGGCGGGGGCGGGGGCGGGGGGAGGGTTTGGTTTAGGGTAAAGTGTGTGCTTAGCATTGTGAGCCTGAGAGTTCAGGGGATTGGATGCAGGGCCTCCTCCCTGAGCTACATCCCCAACCCTTTCAAAACAAGACGGGCTTGTTGACTGGCCCAGGCTAGGCCCAGACTTTCAGATCTTCCTACCTCAGCCTCCCGGAGTCCTGGGATTCCCAGCGTGTACTACCATGCCCACGAGTAGTTTTGAGTCTAATAAAAAAGACAGCAGAAGCACAAAGCAGATGCCATGTCACGTCTCATGCAAAGGGAAAAAAAATAGTTCTGTCAAACTGGGAGCAGCGGTGCCCACCTGTGTGTGATCCCAGCACTCAGGAGGCTGAGGCAGGAGGATCGCCAGGAGTTCAAGGCCAGCCTGAGCTGCACAGTGAGACGCTGTCTCACCAAACCATGGGGTGGGGTGGGGGCAAAAGTAGTTCTTTCAGATGGAAAGTTCTGTTGGCCAGGCGAGGTGAGGAGGAATTTGGGATAATTCTGGGCTCTGAGTTGAGGGTTGTGGGTGTGGCCCCGTGGTAGACCAAGTGCTTGCTATGCCAGGTGCCCTGGCTTGGAGCCCCAGCGCACACCACACACATGTGCACACGCGCATGCAGAATATGAGTTGAACTTTTCTCTTCGGAACGGAGAAGGCAGCTCTGAGACACAGCCGGCTGCACAGGGTGGTGTGGAAGGAAAGGGCCTGTGTGAGGCATCAGCAGGAAAGTCCAGAAAGTTGACAGGGGCTGGCCCTGGCTGGGGCCGGGAATCCCAGGGGAAGGGATTGGCCCTGTTTGCTTCGAACTCCTGTGACATTCCTTGGTGTTAAAGACTTTTTTTCAGGGTCTCACAGTGTACTGCAGGCTGGCTGTGAACTCACTATGTAGCCCAGCTGCTCTCCTCCAGCTCATGGTGATCCTCCTGCCTCAGCCTCCCAAGTGCTGGGTTTACAGAGTCAAAGATTTGTTAAATACAACTTTTTGCTTCAGTGGTTTTCATATTATAAGAAACATTGTATGCCACTTTATTTTGAGACAAGGTCTTGCTAAATTTCCCAGGTGGGACTTAAGTTTGTGATCCTCCTGCCTCAGCCTCTGGAGTAGCCCAAACTCACCCCTAGTTGCCATTTGTTCCCCCTGGGGATGGGTGGGTTTCCCTCACTGGAAAACCACTGGTGTAAGCCAGGCGTGGTGCACACCTGTAATCCTAGTGCTCTGGGAGGCTGAGGCAGGAGGGTCATAAGGTCAAGCCCAGCCTGGAAAACTTAGCAAGACCCTGTCTCCAAATTAAACATTTTAAAGGGGCTATGGCTGTAGCTCAGGGCAAAGGCCCTGGGTTCAACCCCCAGGACCACAAGACCACAAGAAAAGCACAGCACTGTACGAATGTATGAAGGTCCTTCAGCGTTGAGATTTCGCTCTTGGGCGTCCAGACCCTGTGCCGCAGGTTCGGTGCCCAGGTTCGGCGACCAGGTTCGGCGACCAGGTTCGGCGCCCAGTCTTGCGTGAGGTCTGTGCTGCGTGTGGGGCCGGGCCTGGCTCTGGCACAGAGGTGGGGCTGGCGTGAGGTCACTCAGCCAGTGGCCCCTGCCTTATCTTGGGAGGACCACAGGGCTGGCCGCTGTCTGCGTCCTCCACCCTGGCTCGGGCTGGCTCGGGCTTTGCTCTTCCTCGAGGTTGGAGAGTCACACAGGTTGGCAAAGCTCCCTCCAGTGCCCCATGAGGACTTGGAGGTTCTGAGCCCGGGGGCTTTGTGGCACTAAACACCGGAACTTTGTTCTTCCCTAGGTTACTTGAAGAATCTCCTGGAAGACTCTGCAGAATACAGAGACACTCAAGGTAAACACTCTTGGCAGAAATGTTTCATGTTTCTTTAGGCCTGGACAGGAAAACTATACCAGGCACAAAACCCAGAGACAAAACTGTTTTTAGCTGGGCTTGGTGGCACAGATTATAGTACCAGGCCTCTGGGAGGCTGAGGCAGGAAGGCCTGGGGTTGTAGCACGCACGGTACAGAGATCCCAGGTTCTGTCCTCAGTGCTGCAAAAAAAAAGCCTAAGCTCACACACACACACACACACACACACACACACACACACACACCCCTCTGTTTTAGTCATAAGAGGACGTGAAGCTTTAATAAAAGTGGTGCATACCTGTAATCCCAGCACTTGGGAGGCTGAGGCAGGAAGATTGCTGCAAGTTCCAGACCTGTCTGAACTATAGAATAAGACCCTGTCTGAAAAAGTTCTTTTAAGCAGATTAAAAGAGGATTTGGTAAAGTAGTAAATCAGTGCTGGGAGGCAGATATGATGGCAGGATCAGCCTCCGAGGGAAGCCTCTGTGAGGGCGGGCCCAGTGGCTGTGTCTGGAAGCTTCTCCCTTCTGTGCTCAGTCACTCTTCGCTATGATGGGTTTGTATTGTATAGATGGCCAACTCTTCATCTTTCTGAAACGATGGAGCCGGTTTAGTGGTGCACACCTCGAATCTCAGCACTCAGGGAGGCTGAGACAGAAGGATCCGAAGTTGGAGCTCTATCTGGGGAGTTTAGCAATTTAACAAGACCCAGTCTCAAAATAGTAAAAGACAGGTGTTTCATTTCTCTGAGCACCCACACTGCCTTGAATATATCAGGAACAGATATCTATATCTACATCCATGAGTCCTTCTCATGTCTCTTAAAAAAAAAAAAAAAACTAAAAGGGGCTGTAGGGTGAGGATGTAGCTCACTGTGAAGGCCTGAGTTCAATCCCCAGGACTGCAAAATAAATAAATAAATACAAATAAAAAATAGAAGAACTTCAGAAGGCCAGGTGGCCAAGCAGCTGGGTGTTATGATTCTGCAAATCCCAAGGCTCCTCCCTGCCCCGGAATCCTGCTCAGGAAAGCAAGGAAAGTGTCCAGGGTGCAGATGGTGGAGCCCCATGCAGGAGCTCGGAGAGGCGGCTGGGTCCCCCGGAAGGGAAACACTGCTTTCCTGTGCAACTGCTGCCGGCCGCACACACCTGTGATCCCAGCTCTGAGGCAGGCTGAGGCAGGAGGATCACCGCAGGCCTAAGCCCAGTTGGGCTACATAGCAAAACCCTGTCTCAAAAAAACCTAAATAAAAAAAATTAAATTGAATTGAAATATAAGGGCTCAAGTTCCCTTTTTCTGATTCTAGCAGGTGGGAGTTGGTAAATGGTCACCCAGTGGTCACCATGACAGCCACGAGGTGTCCCCGTGTGTGCTCATGTCCCCCGGAGTCCCCACTGCTGGGGCTGAGGGCAGCTCATGTACGGAAGGACACGGCCAGCCCCATCCCTCTGTCCACTTCCGGAGCTGTGAGCGTGAAGCGTCCATCGTGGAAGCAGCTGTCCCGGCAGCTGCAAGCTCAGCGTGCGAGATGACACTGTGTCCCTCAGGCCTGGCGTGCTGCCATGCGACATTGCTGTCCTTTCTAGTCCATACCTGCAAGCATCAGACCAACAGAGCGACCCTGAGCCCTAACTATCTTATATTTTTTAGTTTTATTTTATTTTAATTTGACTTATTTTTGGTTTTTTGAGATAGGCTCTCCTGCAGTCCAGGCTAGCCTTGAACTTGTTACATAGCCCAGGCTGGCCCCAAACTGGAGAGCCTCCTGCCTCAGCCTCCTGAGTGCATGGATCGCCCGTGTGTGCCGCCATGCCCGGCACGTTTGGCATAGCTCTTGTTTCCTGTATGAAGATCCTCCTCTCTCCTGACTCTTCTCCTGGAAGATAGTTTGTGCCAGGATGGCTGAGCTTTGGGTAAACGCTCACTCTGACTTAAGGAAGGCAGTCAGGTCCTGGCCCAGGGAAAGCCCAACATTCCTGTTTGTGCTAGACGTGGCCAGCAGTGACTCTTGGGGCTCGTGTGTGTTCGTAGGTGTTGTTTTCAGTCTGTTTTTCCCTCGTCATGTCTCACCCAGCTAGCGTCCGTGTCTCTGCCCATCTGCCGTCAACCAGGCTCCCTGGCACAGATGCCGGGAAAGAGCTGTCTTGTGGGAAACTGCTTAAGGTCAGGCTGCGCCGTGCAGCGGTAGTGACCAGGCCCCTTCTATCCCTGCGCCCCTTAGATGCCCTCGCCGTGGTTATAGAGGTGGCCAACCACGCCAACGACAGCATGAAGCAAGGCGTGAGTATCTCGCTCAGTGGCTGGTGCCCCATGGAGCCGGCTGGGCCTGAGCCACTGTCTCTCCGCAGGACAACTTCCAGAAGCTCATGCGGATCCAGTGCAGCCTCAGCGGGCACCAGGAGATCCTGCAGCCCGGACGGGTGGGTGTTTTCAGCTACGCTTGCAAGTGGTGTGCAGTGCATTTGGCCACCATCTGTACCTAGTGTTTATTATTTGAGTTATGAAAATAGGTTACTTGTGGCCGGGCGTGGTGTTGCACGCCTATAACCCTAGCACTTAAGGCTGAGGCAGAAGGATCAATTTCTGTGAGTTCAAGGCCAGCCTGGACTGCATAGTGAGATCCTGTCTCAAAACAAAAGAAAGCTGGAAAACACCCATGATGGGAGTAAGCGTGATGGGAAGTACAGTTTAGTGGGGACAAAGGCAAGGGACCCTGCAAATTCCAGTAAAATGATTTAATAGCGAGTGTCATTTCATTGTGTAATACCAGCTGACTTCATAGAGCTTTGAATGCAGTTTCATTTAGAATGGTGGCTGTAGGAGAGGGTCACGGAGGAGGATAAAGGGTATTTGATGCTCTTCAGGGAGCACAGAAGTGGCCTCGGGAAGTTGTCAGGATCAAGGACACTCAGCTCACAGAGGACCCTGTAGCCAATGTTGGCTTTACAATCTTTCCTTCTGTCCAACTTCCAAGTGACTGTTAAGGTTTAAAAAGAAACCAGGGGTGCCAGGCATGGCAGCAAATCCTGTAATCCCAGAACTGGGGAGGCTGAGGCAGGAGGATCACTGCAAGTTCAAAGCCAGTGTGCACTACAGAATGAGACCCTGTCTCAAAAAGACAAAAAAAGAAACCCTGGGGACCTGGGAGTGGAGCTCAGCATGTGTGAGGCCCTGGGCTCTATACCCAGTACCATGCCCAGGAAAAAGGAAAAGCAAAGAAAATAAACTATGAGTGTCCAAAGTACAAGGAAGCGAAGTCTTGCGCGCCGGAGCAGCTGGGGCAGCAGGGAGGGCTGCTGTGTGCTGTGGGGACTGACTGTTCTCTGTGACCCAGGTTTTCCTCAAGGAGGGGGTCCTGAGGAAGCTGTCCCGGAAGGTCATGCAGCCGCGCATGTTTTTCCTGGTGAGGTCGCGCCCCTCTCGCGCATCTGGGTTGCTGCTTGGTGGGGCAGCTCTGCGGGCTGGAGGAGCAGGGCAGCCATGGGGGTTTCGGAAGCCTCTCATGGGCTGCTGCGCTGTGCCATCAGAAAAGTGATCGCTTTGGGGACTGAGCTGGCTTCCTGTCTGGCTGGGAAGAGTTGTTTGCATCAAGTACTTATTTAGACTGTGATGCCTTCGCGTGATTCAGAATTTAAAAAACGTTGAATCTGTCACAAAACTCGGAAGAGAAGCACATTGTCTACAAACTACCTTTTACTTTATATTTTTGGTACCAGGGATTGAACTCGGGACCTTGTGGGTGTGAGGCAGGCGGTGGAACCACTGAGCTAAATCCCTGGCCCAACTACCTTTTAGATAATAGAACATTTCAGGTGCTTTTTGGGGAGAGGAGCAGAATAGAAGTATTTTCTTCAGAGAACTGTTAACAAAGAGGCGATATTTTCCCTTTGTCCTCAGATTTTGTCAGTATCTTTGGTGATGGCGCACACCTGTAATCCTAGCACTGGGAGGCTGAGGCAGGAGGATCGCTGACAATTTCAGGCTGGCCTAGGCTGGGTAGTGAGACCAGGTCTCAAAAAACAAAAGCCTTTGGGCACTGACGGAGCGTCTGTAATTTGTCATGCAATGCTCCCCCTTTCAGTTTAACGACGTCCTGCTGTACACCACGCCGCTGCAGTCTGGGATGTATAAGCTGAACAACATGCTTTCCCTGGCTGGGATGAAGGTCAGTGCCTTGTTAGCTCTTCCTCCTGCCCAAATCCATGAATATACTGACTGAAGAGGAGCCGTGACGATCGTGTTTCTCGCACCCCTTTCTCCATGTGCTACTGTTCGTGCCCATGTTTGTTAATTCATATCATTTCTTCATTCAGGCATTCATTTATTCAAAGCATATTTATGGAGAATGACTGTAAACAGAACCTTGTCATAAGTTTGGTGAAAATAGGAGGGTTCGATCCCTGGTACAAAAGAAAAGAAAAGAAAATAGGAGGGTGGCTGGAAACATGATTCCTTTAGACTAGTTGGGAGAATAATACACTAGATAAATACCAACAAAGATCTTTCAAGTCCTTCTACAACCTAACTGCAAGTTTTTAAATGTTTTCAATGAAATAAAATCGTGTAGAACAGAAAAAAATCAAATAGCATATTGTATGTATGTAAGAATAAGTAGGTGGAATAGACAGAAACAAATACCACTGTAAAAAAGCTGGGCATGGTGGTGCATCCCTGTAATCCCAGCACTCAGGAGGCTGAGGCAGGAGGATCTCAGCAAGTTCCAAGTCCAGCCTGGGCTACATAGTGAGGTCGAGGCCAGCCCGGGCTACCTAATGAGACCCTGTCTCAAAAAAATTAAAAAAAAAAAAATCACTGTGAAGGCTTAGTTTAGCTCTTGGGACTTTAGGAAGTAAAGGACGCACAGCTCTTGGAGGTAGTGGCGTGCAGCTGTTGATTGACAGCTGGGGAAGTGGATGAGGTCTGTGGGAGGAAGAGAGGAGGAGCCTGAACTGCAGGTCACAGGTGGCCGGAGGTGGCACAGTGACCTCAGCCCCGCAGTGGGAAGCTGGGCCTGCGCGGGTCGGTTTGAGTTCACCCGAGCTGAGAGGGTGGTGGAGGAGACCTGAAGTGGTAGCACCTTGGGGAGGCGGGTGGCTACAGGCTCAGAGCCGGGGTTTGCAGTTAGCACTGCGTCCTCCCGCTCTGCTTCCTTCCTTCCAGGTCCGGAAACCCTGCCAGGAGGCCTATCAGAATGAATTAAAGATCGAGAGTGTGGAGCGCTCCTTCATCCTCTCAGCCAGGTACTCGGTCCTTTTTGCTTGCTTGCTTGCTTATTTGAGACAGTTTCACTGCAGTCCAGGCTGGCCCCGAGCTCATGCTGTTTTTCTCCTGCTTGGCCTCCGAGGGCTGGGATCACAGGCTTGAGCTACCACCCAGCCACCGGTGGATTTCGGTCTTTAGCATCGGAGCCGCAGGAAGCCGCTGACCGTCAGTCCCGCCGAGGCTGTGGTCAGAGGATCTCGCAGTCCTGTGCCTCATGCTTTGGGGCCAAGCTGAGCCAGAAGGATGCTGCATTCGGAGGCCCGCCCGGGCTACCTAGTGAAACTCTGCCTCAAAAGCAAAACAAAAAAGCAGAGGCAGTACTGAGCAGGGTGGGCACACCAGGAACTAGGCCACGTCCCTTGGTGAGTCCTCCCAGTAGACAGGCATGGTGTTTACTAGACACATTAGCGCTCTGGGGGGTGCCGCATCCCACAGAGGAGAGAGGCCTTGGTCCACGGCTTTTGCATCCCAGGAGGATGGGGCTGGCACAGAAGGAGCCCAAGGCGGTCCCACTCTGCTGCGGGCATGGTGTCTGGGCTCTGAGGACTGTGAACGCCGCCTTGGCAGACACCCACAAGGGCCCCAGCCCGGAGCAGAGCCCGGAACAGCGAGCGCCACACCATCTGCACAGCAGAGCCTTGCTCTACCTGCTGCCTGGGCTCCAGAGGTCCTGCAGTAATTCTCCAGTTAGCCGCTAGCCTGCCTCTGCTTTCTGTGACTTCTTCAGTAACCACAGGGGAGGCTGGGAGAACTGCTAATATTTCATGAAGGTTGGCCTGGAAGCCCCAGAGGGATACCAGATGGGCCTGGTGGCTCACGCCTCTAATCCCAGCACTCGGGAGGCTGAGGCAGGAGGAACGTAGCAAGTTCGAGCTCAGCCTGAACTACATAGGAAGACCCTGTCTCAGAAAAACAGAGATACAAAATAAAAATGCATGAACCGGATGGCCGTGGCCTGGTGGTCAGGCTCAGTCCTTAACTACCCTCGAGTGCCTACCAATGCTTGTCGTCAGGTGCGGATCTATAAGTGGTGACCGCAGGTGAGATGTGTGGTAGGGAAGAGCGGAAGGTCCAGTTCTTCTGGAAACACCTCCCAGGCAGAGGCCTGGCGACCTGTGACAAGCACTCAGTGCTGTTGGCTAAAGTGGCCTAGCTATTAGATGGGAGCTACTTGCCGGGGCTCATGTTGGTCATCTCAGCCCTCTGGGAGGCTGAGCAGGAGAATCGAAAGTTCAAGCCCAGCCTGGGCAACTTGGTGATTTAGCGAGACCCTGTCTCAAAATAAAAACTCAGAAAGGGTTGGGGATGTAGCTCTGTGTAAAGGCCTTTAGAATACTAGACGTAACTGAAGCAGGCTTGGTTTGATTTAGAAAGCAAGGGATTATTTCTTTTGTTGTTGTTCTACCTTTTTCTATCCATAGGAACAAATATTCTAAAGAGTATTTAGAATAGCCAAAGTCACTTAATAAAGAGTGCATTTCCCAGGATGACTGGGGTGTGCAGTCCAAGTGGTTTCTGGTATCTCCTTGAGCGGCTCACCAGTCCTGGTGGTGCTCACCTGGAATCCCAGTGCTTGGGAGGCCGAGGCAGGAGGGTTGCTAGTTGAAGGACAACGTGAACTACATTGCAAGACCTGGTCTGAAAACAAAACCAACAACAAGGGACTGTGGAATAAGTAGCTTAGTGGTGTGTCGTTTGCCTAGAATACATGAGGCTCTAGGTTGGACCCCAGCACTGCAAAGGAAGTGTGTGTGTGTGTGTGTGTGTGTGTGTGTGTGTGTGTTGTGTACCATTATGATGGGCTTTTTTTTTGGTGGTGGTGGTGCTAAGGATTCCACCCTTGACCTCATGCATACTAGGCAAGTACGCTACCACACATCCTCAGCCTATTATAGGATTTTTTATATTTGAAATTACTAATAAAAATTAAAATCTAAGCTGGGCATAGTGGTGCAGGCCTGTGATACCAGCACCCAGGAGGCTGAGGCAGGAGGATGGCCAGGAGTTCAAAGACAACCTGGGCTATATGCTGAGTTCAAGGCCAGCCTGGAATACATAATGAGATGCCATCTCATATAAATAATAAAATAGAGTGAACAGCACAGTGAATACATATTCAGTCACCCAGATGCAGAATTATCAAGCATTGCTACCAGTTTTTCTTTTCTCAATAATTTTCTAAAGTATTTTAAAACAAAGTGCATTTGTCAGGACATTTTCCTCCTATGTACTGCAGTGTGCCTTTCTAAAAAGTACGTTTCTCCCATCACAATCTCATCGTGATGGCTTTGATTTTATTATGATGCAGTTTAAGCCGATCGTTACAGTCTGTCCCCTCCGCGAACCCACACGTGTCTGTATAGGTTTATGGATTTACTTGTATTTCTGATTCCTGACATCTGCCTCTCAGTTTTGAATATGCAGAAAACAGTTTAAACAATGGCTCTCAAATGTCCTGACACCAGTGATGGTTAAAGCTACCACAGATTGGGAAGGAGAGGCCTGGTCACAAAACCCAGAACAAGCTGGGCACAGTGGTGCACACCTGTGATCCCAGCACTCTGGGAGGCTGAGGCAGGAGGACTGCAAGTTCAGACTCAGCCTGGTCCACTTAGCTGCTTTGCAAGATCCTGTCTCAAAGTAAAAACTAAAGAAAGGGCTGGGGATGTAGCTCAGTGAGAAGACCCTGTGTTCAGTCTCCAGTACCATTCACACAGGAAAAGGCAGAAGAAGTATACCGTTCTGGGGACAGACTTGCCCATTTTGGCTCATTCCTTTGAAAGTCCAGTTATAGGCAGCTCCTGCCTGCTGGGTAGGAACACACACTTCGTGGGCCAAATGGGCATGGGAGCCCTCACACTAGGGCCAGCCGATTTCTCTTTTAACCACGCCTTCAACATCTGTTTTATGATACTAAACATATATCCACCTCACTGACCTTTCCAGGGAATTCTAGTACTGTTTATTGAGCTAAAGATACTCAGAAATCCGTGCTGTGAACTGCTATTTGTAACTTGAATCAAGGGGAAACCCTTGATGATATAAATGATTATAATCATAAACCATAAACCAAATGAAAATACTTGTGCATGTAGACCTTTTTATTGGTCCGTGTCTGTGCCACATAATGATTACGTCCCTTGTGGGGAGTGGTGCATGGGGTGACATTTCTTAATTCCTTGAAATCCGCTCCCTTCCGCTCGCTCCCTACCTGGAAGATTGGGAAGCTGTCTTCGCCGCGCCTCAGCGAGAGGAGGGAGGTGTTGTAGGCTCAGACTCCGAGGGTTCGCCTCACCTGCCGGGGGTCTGTGATTCCTGGCTCTGGAGGGGGCCATGGAGAGCAGGCGGAGTCCACCCGGTCTGCCTCACGGGACCCCCTTGCCCCAACAGCTCTGCCAGCGAAAGGGACGAGTGGCTGGCGGCCATCTCCGGGGCCATAGACGAGCACACCAAGAAAAGAATCACCTTCTGTCCTGGTAGGAGTCTTGAGGAGGTATTGTTTTTCCTTCTGTTTTTTTCCAGTCTTCAAACAGCTTTTACTTTAAAGAGCCTTCTCACGTGGGGTTAGAAAAGCAGCGTGTGTTTCAGGGAAGGATGGAGGTGTGTCTGATCTCACAGCTTAAATGTTTATCCATCTGTTAAGGTCTAACTGCAAGTCTGTGGTTTTTGTTTTGCTTTGTTTTGTTTCGTTTTTAAGGTGAGGGGGATTTGAGACAGGGTCTCACTGTGTGGTTCAGGTCTGGCTATGTGTTCACTGTGTATCCCTGGCTGGCCTCAAACTTGTGGCGATCCTTCTGCCTCAGTCTCCCCGGTGCTGGGAATATACCGTGCCCAGCGTCTAACTGCAAATCTAGGAGAGCACACAGCATACTCACACTTTTTCCCAGCTGTAAAATTTTATTGTAGTTGGTGTGCTACACATGCCTGTCGTCTCAGCTCTCTGGGAAGCTGAGACAGGAGGATCTCAAGTTTGAGGCCAGCCTGAGAAATTTAGCATGACCCCCATCTCAAAATTTTCAAAATGGTAGTAAGAGGCTACAGATATACCTCAGTGTGAAGGTTCTGAGTTCAACCCCTAGGATCCAAAAAAAAAAAAAAAAGCAAAAGAAAAATTTCACTACCTGGGTATGGTGTAATGACTCACAGTGAGCCTCCTGCCTCAGCCTCCCAAGTGCTGGGGTCAGAGGTGTGCACTGCCATGTCCATTGAATCTTTTGGAGTCAGTCTTGCAGTAGAGGGTTTTTGGAGTGTAGCTGATCTTCAAATCCTGAGCATGTGAGAACTGTAATGGCCCATAATCCCCAGCGTCCCAGCTGTGAGCTGCCCTCCAATCGACAGAGGTCACAGAGTCGCTTTTCTCCCGCAGGCCAACGCAGAGAGGCAGGAGGAAGTGACTCCGCTGGGCTCCAAGGCACCCATCTGGGTCCCTGACACCCGGGCCACGATGTGCATGATCTGCACCAGCGAGTTCACTCTGACCTGGAGGCGACACCACTGCCGGGCCTGCGGGAAGGTGAGCTTGTGCCCCCGAGCCTTGGCCCCAGATGTCGCTGTAGTAAGCAAATAAGACCAGAAAACACGCTGGGCTCGGGGCACTTGCCTGTAGTCCCAACACTAAGACAGCTGAGAGGTCTTTGCATGCAGAGCACTGCTGAACACTGTGCGGGACAGTTCTCTGCCCAAGGTACTTTACGTGGGAATCACTCAGTAGCACCTGGGGCCCCTTCAGCTCTGAGCACGGTCCCGAGTGGCAGTTCACTCCGTGCCGGAAGCCCATGAGCTTGTGCTCCAGTGAGCGGGAAGCTTGTTGGGAACTCGGACGGAGCTACAAACTGTAATGAAATGACCGCACTGTGTTTCAGGTCGTTTGCCAAGCTTGCTCCTCAAATAAGTATGGCTTAGATTACCTGAAAAACCAGCCTGCAAGAGTATGTGAACATTGTTTCCAAGAACTGCAGAAATTAGGTAATATATAAAAACTTCATCAATAATCCCTTTCTTCCCCACATGCTTTCAAACAGCCTCCTTGCTGAGTGTGGCAGCACACACTTGAAATCCCAGCAATTGGGAGGCTAAGGCAGGAGGATCACTGCCAGTTCGAGGCCAGCCTGGGCCACATAGGAAGACCCTGTTTCAAAAATCCAAAGAGGGAGGGAGGGAGGGAGAGAACAGAAGGAAACTAAATATCTTTGGTCCATTAGCAACAGTTTTTAATACTTGCTCAAAATCAGTACTTAACTCAGATTTTGTGCTAATTCCAGGAGAAGCTAGACTGAAATTTGTTTTCACTCTGTGAAAAGGTGAGGAGTCTCAGAAAACCAACTGGAAATGTAATCACAGGATTAGATGCCTAAAACGGCCAACGGAACGTTAGCCTCCAGGTCATTTTCAAGGTTTTAGTTTGTGATGACGGTGTGCTTATTGCAGGCTACTGTGTACCTGCCTGCCAAGCTATTCTGTACGGAGCAGACTTGGTGGCATTTGGCCCAATTCCGGTCCCATGGCCTGAGTCATCGACGTTTCACTGCATACCCAAAAGATCTCATTTCTGGGACAGACACAGCCTAATGCTACTCACCCACCCGTCCTTTGCTGGCTTCTTACAGCAAAGTCAATGGGCAGGGACTACGCAGGTCTCTGTTTTGGGAAGGAATCTTTGGTTAAATCTCTGAAACCTTAAGTCATGCTTATAATCTTAGCACTCAGGAGGCTGAAGCAGGAGGATTGCAGCAAGTTTGAGGCCAGCCTGGGCTACATAGTAAGGTCGAGGCCAGCCTGAACTGCATAGTGAGACCCTGTCTGAAAGAAAAAGTTCAGAAAGCACAAACCCAAAGATGACAGTGGAAAGTCTTCCTCCCACTCAGCTCCTGGCCATCATTTGCTCTCTCAGAGCCAGACGTGTCATGTGCATGCGTGTGTCTTGAGTTTCCTTCCCTGAGTAATCTGTGTGGTGAGAGTTGATGAATTTGAGTCTTGCTGAAGGGCGGTCACTTCCGCCCGTGCCAACCGAGCATCCTCAATCTGTTCCAGATCGCCAGCAGAGCTCCAGCTCCCCTGGAGGCCACAGGACTCCGTCCAGCACCTTGTCCTCTGTGCTGCAGTCCATCCCCCCGGGGCGGAAGCAGAAGAAGATCCCTGCGGCTCTCAAAGAAGTAAGTGCTTCCCGAAGTGCTGCAGTATCCACAGAAGGAGGATGTTGTTTGCCAGCAGGGTTAGGAGCAAGAGGGCGGGGCCTTGGGCTCAGGGTCTCTCCAGAGCCTCACTCCCTGAGAAAATGGCTGGAGATTGGGCTAGAAATTTAGCTCAGTGGGGCCACACCTGCCTGGCAAGCGAAAGGTCCTGAGTTCGATCCTTGATTCCACACACACAAAAAATGGCTGAAGACAGGTTTGGACAACACTTTATAGCAATGATAGGAAGTAAAGATAAGTTGGGCACATGGGAATTTTTGTTTTTTTTGAGACAGGGTCTCACACTAGTTCAGGCTGGCCTGGAACTCAATGGCGATCCTCCTGCCTCAGCCTCCCACATGCTGGGATTACAGGTGTGCACCACCACGTCCAGCTGATACATGAATTTTTTTTTTTTTTGGTACTGGGGATGGAACTCAGGACCTTGTACTTTCGAGGCAGGTGGCGGCACCACGGAGCTAAATCCCCGGCCTGATACATGAATTTTTAAAAGTTACTTTGAGGAGACTTCTCACCTGAAGAAAGAAGTCTCTAGAATAATTTTGGGCATTTCATTAGCATTTACTGATCTGCACATTTGTTATTTGTAGACACCGATTGGTTATGGACAACAGATATGGACAGCAGGTTGTCTCTATTTTACTTTCTTTGTTTTATGGGTCTGGGGGTTAAACACAGGGCCTTCACACTTGGCCACATCCCTAGGCCTTTTAAAATTTTGAGACAGGGTTTCGCAAAGTCACTCAAGCTAGACTTGAACTTCCAGCCTCCTGCCTCAGCCTCCTAGCATTGTTGAGATTACAGGCGGGCATCACCATGCCCAGCTCTGTTTTTCTTTGCAATTTAAAATTTTCATGGTGCAGTGACCTGCAAGCTTAGGTCCAGTTGATAGCCCACCGCCAGTGCCCAGTGTCTCAGCCTCAGGCCACAGCGCTGCTGGTCAGCCACACTCGGCAGTCTGCTCACTGTGGGGCCAGCCACTTCTGGGCTGGTGTTTCAGCCAGCAGAGCCCAATGTGTCTGTTGGGGTTATTTGTGCTTTCAAGATGGCTGGCCTTACCTCCCCGACAAAGTGATTCTCCCACCTCCGCCTCCTGAACCTTCCTCTGCTCTAAATAGGGCTTTTTATTCTTCTCTTAGTTTTTTGAGTCAGGATTTTACTGTTTAGTCCAGGCCAGTGTGGCGGGCCTCCTGCCTCAGCTTGAGATTCTCTAAAGGGTAACCACTCTAAAAGTTTGACCAAAATCTTATTTCTTATGTTCCCAGCTGAAATCACACAAAGTAGTCTATAGCCAGTTTCACAAAACAGTAAGAATAAGATTTACAAAGTTCTAATTGCAGAGTCATATGTGAAACCAGTTAAACCAATTTAGCAAGCACCCGTGGACTGGCTCTTTCTCCCTCAGTTCCCAGATGTGAGTTTGATTCGGAATGCTGAGGCTCTTGCATGCCAGAAGCGGAGCTGCGCCTCCAGTCCTGACTCCTCAAGGCGCTGAAGAGGGCAGACGGCTGGAGCCAGGAGCAAGCTAGCAAGATTTCCAACTCTTAAAAACATAAGGAAAGGCCAGGCATGGTGGCCCACACCTGTAATCCCAGCTCTCAAGGCTGAGGCAGGAGGATTGCTATGAGTTTGACATCAGCCTGGGCAAGTTAGTAACCTATTGAGACCCTATCTCAAACTAAAACAGAAAATGGGCTGGGGATGGAGCTCTGTGTGAAGGCCGGATTCAATCCCTATCCCCAGAAAAAATTTTTATTAATTAATTGCAGAATTACATTTTTAGAGAAGCACTGTGTGCTCTGGGTCATTTTTTCTCCTGCTAAAACAGTAGCCCAGTATGGTGTCACATGCTTGTAATCGCAGCACTTGGGAGGCTGAGGCAGGAGGGTTGCTGAGAGTTCGAATCCAGCCTGGGCATCATACTGAGACTTTGTCTCAAAAAACCAAAAACAAAGAGAGAGAGCGAGAGAGCGAGACACACACCCAGGTAAATCAGAAGGGTTCTTAGCTCACATTGACAGCAGGATTCAGTTTGTACAGTAGCAGACTTTGCACATACGCAGCTGTGTTCCGAAACATTCTCTGTTACTGTTACTGCTTCCGACTTCCAACATGCCGAGCAGCGCTGCTGTCAGCGCAGCCGCTAGCCCGTGCCTATGCTCGCAGGTGTCCGCCAGCACTGAGGACTCCTCCATGAGCGGCTACCTGTACCGCGCCAAGGGCGCCAAGAAGCCGTGGAAGCACCTGTGGTTTGTGATTAAGAACAAAGTGCTGTACACGTACGCGGCCAGCGAGGTGAGCTGGGGCCTGCGGGCAGCAGCGGCGGGAGGGAGGGTGAGAGGGCTCGCTCGTTCAGTCCCATGTCTGTCTTACGGCTCTGGGGCTTCGGTTTGCTTGATTTGTGGCCCTGGAGATCCAGCCCAGGCCCTCGTGCCGGCACCAGCACCGAGCTATGCCGCAGCCCCCTGCTGCTTTGCTTGCTTTGGGAGCAGGAGATGCTGTCAATGTTCTTTCTTACTGGAATGATGCTCTTGCTCGGGACCCTGGGAGCTCTTACTTAAGTGTGTTAGGAATTTTACTTTTTTTTGGAGACAGAGCCTCACTATGTATAGTTCAGGCTGGCCTTGAACTCACCATGTAACTCAGCCTGGTCTCAAAATAGCGGCGATCCTCCTGCCTCAGCCTCCTGAGTGTGGGAATATAGGTATGGTGGGCGCTAAAGCAGGAGATCATGGCTTCCTCTCCCTTGTTCTCTTGATCCCCTGTGTTCCATCGCTCTGAAAACCGCTAAGGTGTTCCATAGCACAGGTCACTTACCTTTCTATTGAAAAGTGCAGCGTCGCCTCCTTGCTCATAGCAGAATGAATATGAGGCTCGGCAGCTGTGCGTGCAGTGAGGTGACAACTGGCAGGTTGCCCAACGCGGGTTCGGGCACTGAGCATGGGTGAGCAAGTGAGCAGCGGCAGCCGTGTCCGAAGCGAACCCCTTTTGGCTTGTGTCTCGGCCTCAGGATGTGGCGGCCTTGGAGAGTCAGCCTCTGTTAGGGTTCACAGTCACGCAGCGGGCAGATGAAGGCGCGGAGCCCAGGGTGTTCCAGCTCCTGCACAAGAGCATGGTGTTCTACGTCTTTAAAGCAGAGGATGCCCAGTCAGCTCAGAAGTAAGTGGCGCACGCGTATCCCTCCTGTACTCGGGGCTCCAAGTTGTTCTTTGATTTGTTTTTCTTTGGTACCCGGGATCGAACTTGGAACCTTGCGCTTTCAAGGCAGGTACCGGAACCACTGAGCTAAATCCCTTTTTGATTTGTATTTTGCAGTTCTAGGAACTGAGTTCACAGTCTTTGCCCTGACCTACATTTCCAGCCCGCCCGCCCTCATTCCCTTCCTTCCCCACCCCTTTCTTTTTTGTTTTTTTTTTTGTTTTTGGTACTGGGGATCAATCTTGGGTCCTTGCGCTTGTGCAGCAGGTGGTGAAACCTCTGAGCTAAATCCCCAGCTCTTTTTGGTTTTTTGACAGGGTTTTGCTCCGTAGCTCTGGCTGATTTTGCACTCACTCCGAATTTACAGCCATCCTCCTGCCTCAGCCTCCTGAGTGCTGGGGTTTCAGGCGTGCACCACCATGCCTGGCCCCTAATACCCTATTATAAGAAATTATATTCAAGTAAGAAAGGAAAGAAATTACTGTAGTTAGGTTCCACAACAGTGACAGAGTTAGGGAGGAAAGAGGCTACACCTGACATCTTCCAACACTTGTAGCTGTGAGTGTTAGGTAAAAACTTAAGATGAAAGGATCTTAGAAAGACTTCGATGGCATTTTGGAAAGCACATGTATTGGATGCAAAATATTAACCTGCAGGGAGTGGACTGAATGCCAGATGGAGTCCCTGCTTTGAGGTGTGTTAGAATAGGTCCAGACCAACGGTCCAAGAGGAGACTCCGGCTGGTGCAGCTCACGGAGGAGGAAAAGGCACACAGCGAGTGTTCCTGAAAGCACTGTCAGAGACCCAGAAAGGCGAGGAGAGGAGTTGTCCTAAAGGTCTTTACTAATTCATTTATCTATTTATTTGGCGCAGTATCTGAGCATGAACCCAAGAACTTTGTACCGAGCTACATCTCAAGCCCTTTGTTATTTGAGACAAAGTCTTGCTAAGTCGCCCAAGCTGGGCTCGAACAAGCAGTCCTCCTCTGAGGACTCTGCCTCGGCCTCCCAGAGTGCTGGGATCACAGGTGTGCACCTCTGAGTCCAGCTAAAGGTCTTTACCCACTTCCACAACCAATTAAATAAGAGCATTGGGGCCTTATAGAACATTCACACACTAAATGGTCCCTTTCTCATGCCTCGAAGGAATAAAGACACACTTTCTAGGTCAGAGTTTGGAGCAGATTCCAGAGACAGGTCCTCCGAGTTTGCAGGTGGCGGCAGTCGCTGTAGGAAACCCCTTGAGTGCTGTCAGTGACAAGGTCCCAGGCTCAGCTCTTAGCAGATGCCTACAGTCCCAGGCCTGCACCGTGCGAATCTAACTGGTTTCTCTGACCCACAGGTGGATAGAGGCATTTCAGGAAGGCACTGTGTTATAGCAGTATTGGTCTCTCTCTTCTCTCCCCTTCTTCTGGGACGGTGGAATCTCATCAGAATGGAGTAAAAGCAATTCAAAAGTTTCATAAAAATAAACACTGCCAAGATAAATCCAACTAAAGTCTATCAGATATATCAGATACAAGAAATTATTTTGTTAGATATAAGTAGTTTTTTTTAAAAAATGTTTGTTTTTTTATGTATGTTATTTATTAAAGTTGTAATGTTTACTTAATGGTCAGAATTATGTCTGAGTGTCACATTGAATTCTAAAGTACCATTTCTTTTCAGAGTGGAAAATGTGCCTTGTTCTGTAGTAATTGTTTGTGACCCAGCCTACACGTGTTCTCTGCCTTGCCTTGTAACATTTCTTACTGGTTGTGAATCTCTGTAAGTAAAAAGCACATATAAGAAGCAAATTTCAATGCAGTACTTGGTTTAGAAATTATGACTACTGCTAGGCATAGTGGCGCAGGTCTGTTGTAATCCTAGTATTTGGGTGGCTGAGGCAGGAGAATCTCTAGGAGTTCAAGGCTGGCTTTAACTACATAGCAAAATCTTGTCTCAAAACCAAACATCAGAAGAAAGAGAAAATTGTGATTTTTATAAAACTGCTGAAGAAAATATGTCTTCGAATCAATAAACTTAGAAAATTTTTCTACCTTGTAATGGAAAAACACATGGCCAGCTTCTACCTCAGGAACTGTGAAATGAAATTGGAGTCTGTGATGTATGTATTTATACTTTCTGTACCTCTTCTGGCATGCATTAATGTTACATCATGAAGTAATTAGAGCAAAGGGACAGTAACCTGAATTGTTTTCTATAACTCCATGACTTTTCACTAAATTAAATTTTTTTAAAAGCTAGCTACCAGTTCGGCATAAACATAAATGGTAGCAAAATACAGCACGTTTATTCATTTATGGTTTTCTTTGTAGCACTGGGCTTGCGCCTCACAGACAGCAGGCTGGCTTTCCTCTCCCTCTGAGCTGCAGGCCAGCGCTGTAGCAAGTGTTCTGGACCTTTATCTGCACTGGCACTGCACACGCTGGAGTGGCATTCACCGTGTATCTAAAGAGAACGCTGTTTCCTAAAGTGCTGTGCTTTTACAAACCAACTGGAATCACTATCAGAAAGACACACGTGCTAAGGCAGTATGAACTGAAACTGTACGGTATTTTTTTGAAAAGCCTTTTTATACCTCTTTGTGACATGACTTCCTTGGTATTGACAACGAAGTCCTTCGTTTCCCAGTCAGTGTCAGTGGGCCTGGTGAGGAAAGACTCCTGTACATGACTCTGGTGCACCTGTTGTTTAACCTGTGAGCCACTTGTACAGGAAACTGGTGATAAGCAACAGAAAAATGAAATTAACAGCCTGATTAAAGTTGTACCTGATGTTCATATTCAACATTTTCTTGACTGAATTTATATCAAAGGCAAGGTCTTCCATGGAATATGCCATAGAGTACAAGAACCGGGTGTGGTGTTGAATGCCAGTGATCCTAACGGTCTGGGAGGCTGAAGCAGGAGGATCGCAAGTTTGAGCCCAGCCTGAGCAGTTTAGCACTTTAGTGAGATCTTGTCTCAAAATAAAAAGGACTGGGAATGTAGCTTAGTGCAAAGGTCCTGGGGTTATATTCCCTGCTGTGATATCATTTGAAACCTTGTGTAACCTCATGCACAGTCATAGCACGCTATCCTTGAAAAGTCTTTTTGTAAGACAGGGTCTTCTGTGTAGTTTAGGTCAGGCTTAACCTTGAACTCATGATCCTCCTGCCTCAGCCCCTTGAGTACTAAGATTACAGGCATGCAGTACCATGCCTAACTCCAATTTATTTTGGGGGGGTGGGCATTTGTTACTTTTGAGAAAGGATCCCACCAAAGTCCAGGCTGGCCTTCCATTCACTGTGTAGCCCAGGCTGGCCTCAAATTTAAGGAGTTCCTCCTGCCTTAGCCCTCCTAGTGCTGGGACTACAGCCTTGCGCCCCCACACCCAGAACCCTGCTATTGTTACTGCATAGACCTTGGCTGAAGTCCCCGTTATCTCTTCAAGGACTGTAGCCACTTTTCTTCTGCGCTGTAATTCAGTGGCAGAGTGCTTGCCTCGGGTGTTTGAGGCTCCTGGTTTGATTGCAGCACTGGAAAAAAATGAGACCCACTAAGTTCTCTTGTGTGGTCATCACTCAGTCCTAGCCGCCTTCCTGCAGCATGGTTCAACTTCCTCCTGTCCCTCGCCCAGCAGCCTCGGGCCTTCCTGTACCGGGGTGGCAGGGCAGGGGCTGTTGTCAGGTGAGAGCCACATTGAGGTGGACAGGGAGCCCCTGGGAGGCCTCCTGTAGAGCAGAGTGGGGTGACCGTGGCCAAGAATAATGTCCTGTGGATTTCAAAGCCACATGCTTCACACATGGCCCCGGACTGGGAGGGAGAAGCAGGGGAACTTGGGCACCAGGGCCCTGTGTTCCCGGAGGGAGCAGGACAGGACCCCAGGGTTCTCCCTTCCCACCCTGTTCTCCCTCCTCCTTCCTGGGAGAGAGGAGGTGTTTCTTCCTGTCTCACAAACTCCACAATAAATGCGCTGCTGAGAGGTGATGGCCACCTCCCTGTTTTCACATCTCCCTGCTCCTGCGCCAGCATCAGGGTAGGATTGTGGCACTGGGAGATCAGCTGGGGATGCGTGACTGGATGTGCTTCTGAAGGGGCAAGGCCCTGTGTGTGACATGACCTTGTGTGTCCCACTGTCACTGGTTGGGTAGGTGCTGCAGGCTGTCACTGCATCCTCAAGTCCCCAAACAGCATAAGGGAGGCTGTGACCCAGTCCCAGTTGGGAGGAGCACCAGGGTGTGGCTTGGTCCCTGGAAGGGTGGAGCTGTCACCTGACCATGCCGAGATCCCGGGCTGCATCATGCATGGGATGGATCTTTCCAAGGTGCCCTGTGCTTCCTGTGGGCAGTGGCAGAGACAGAGCCACCAAGAGGCTGGGCAGTGAGCCACTCGGATGTCCTGGGCCAGAGGGAGGCTGGTGGCTGGGTTACACGCAGGATGCCACATGGTCGGGCAGGTCCTGCTGTCCAGGTCCACTCCCCTGGGGTCCCCACTTAAAAACCCTGGGCCACGGGTCACCGTGGAACCCCCAGGCCAGCGCCCTGTCCCCAGAACACATGTCCTCCTAGGAGCTGCCCCTGCTTGGCCTCAGAATCTGACACGCAGGCTATGTGTGTCAGCCGGGCTTCACTGGGACAAATGCTAAGGACACCAACTCCAGCAGGGAGGCAGAGTCACTGCAGCCTGCACCCTGCTCCTCCAGGCCTGTGTGTAGGCACAGAGAGGAAGACAGCGCTGCTGGCTGGGGTGCCAGGAAACAGTATGAGCTCAGCTTTAAGGATGGAGCAGACCCCACAGACCCATGAGCTATGAGGTCAGTGCCCTCACAGCCTTTCCACTCCACAGGCCTGGCCCTGGAACCCCTGCCACGGACAGAAAGTGCCCAAGACATCAGCTTTTCAACGCGGAGGGATGGGCCGAGGCCTGGCAGGACTGACATCCCTGCACCATCAGTGCTGTGGACACCACAGGCATTGCCAGCAAAGCCTCAGGAGGACAGCTGATGACGGGGACTGGGCCCATGTGTCACAGATGAGGGCACTCTGGCTCTGGAACCAGCCACAGCCCCACAGATGCTCTGCTCTGAACTCCCACTGCTCTCTCTACCTGGGGAAATGCGAATCTTAGCTCTACAGTGCACTAAATGCACCTACTGCTCCCCAAATACATATGTGGAAGTCTTCACCCCCACACAATGGTTTTTAAAACAGGACCTGGGAGATATTTAGGGTTGGATGAGGCCATGAAGGTGGGGTTCCCATGATGGGATTCATGGCCTTGGAAGACAGGAAGGGAAATTTGGCTTGTGAGAGCCTGCAAGGAACAGCTTCAAGAGCACAGAGTGGGGAGACAGATGGTGTCTGCCAGCCAGGACAAGGGCTGCCCATACATCCCCCTGTGGGCTCCCTGTGGCCGCTCCGCAGCCTCCAGAGCTGTGAGAAGTAAACAGCTGTGGCCTAAGACAGGGCTTCCCTTTCTGGGTAATGGATTGGTACCAGGCTTTGGCCTGCTAGGAACCAGGCTGCACAGCTGGAGTAGCCACTCATGATAGAGTGAACCTTTGGCTGTGTCACAGCCACTCCCCATCACTCCCATTCCAGCCTGAGCTCTGCCCCCACGAGACCCCCTGTGCCATTAGATTCTCGAGAGCATGAAACCTATGGTGAACTGCACACACCAGGGACCTAGGCTGTGTGCTCATGAGATTCTCATGCCTGATGGTTGGAGGTGAAGCTGAGGCTGTGATGCTAGCAACAATTATCGTGGCTGCTGTAAATCCAGGTGAACAGGAGCAGAGAGCTTGGACTGCACAGAGGCATATTGAATTGGTTACTTGCAGACTCTGATCAAAACCCTATCAGTGAGTGGCAATTAAGTTGCAGCTGGTGGCAGGATTTATAGTGGCAAGGAAGCTGATGTATTTCAACTGTACAGCTGCATCTTTATGTCAGAATCTACCATTTATTATTCAAATCTGTCTATGGCCCGCACATTATTTTATCTATCACTTCATCTGCACCTCTTTCCACACTACTTGTCTTGAGCACTGTCTTTGTAAGCCCACAAGGTAACCCCAGCCAAAAGGAGTCAAGGACAAACATCACCAGAGAACTTTGAAAACAAGAAAAGACCCAGTGATGAGACCTCAGAAGTCTGTATGACTGCCAAGAAAAAAATAGATAGGTTTCTTTTCCCACAAACAATGCTGAGGAAATTGGACTTTCATGTGGAGATTGAAACTAGATCTTTTTCTCTAGATCTTTATCTCTTTTTCTTTGGTACTGGGGATCGAACTCAGGACCTTGTGCTTTTGAGGCAGGTGGCAGAACCACTGAGCTAAATCCCTGGCCCGTTGTTTCTTATCTATACCAAAATCTATTTAAAAATGGATTAAAGTCCCAGATAAACCTCAAACTTTTAAAATGCTAGAAGAAAACACAGGGCAAACACTTGAGTCACAGGCACCAGAAAGACATCCTGACGAGGACTCCAATAGCACAGGAAATAATAGCAAGAATCAATACAGGGACTATAACATATATTTCAGTAAACATTCTTGCCCACCCTTCCACAATTATTTACCACAATTCACTCCTTTTCTAGCTTCCAGTGACATTTTCTCACTGTCTTACTATTGTTTGTTTTTGACAGAGGGTCTCACTATGTGGTTCAGGCTGGCCTTGAACTCACTGTGTAGCCCAGGTTGGCCTTGAACTCACAGCAGTTCTGCCTCAGTCTCCTAAGTGCCGAGACTATACACCCAGCTCCTTCCACATATTAGTAAGTCAACTGTTTGTTTTGTTTGTTGATTGGTACCGGGGATCAAACTCTGGACCTTGTTCTTGCGAGGCATGTGGTGGCACCACAGCTAAATCCCCGGCCCTCAGATTACCCTTTTCTTTTGAACCTAATATAGCTCATTTTGGGGATAAACTTAAGGATATTAGAGAGTCGGGAGCTGCCTCAGAACCAAATCAAATACACAACAAACGATGCTAAAAATTAGAGGTGGACTTTTTTTTTTTCCAGTGCTTAGGATAAAATTCAGAGTCCTTGTGCACACTGGGCTTGCGCTGTCACTGAGCTATATCCGCAACACTAGAAGTGGACTTTTAGAGAATGATGCATGAAGGATCATTTGCTTTTGTTTGTACAGACAGGGTCTCACTACATAGTTCAGGCTCCCTACATAGTTCATGCTGGCCTTGCACTTACTATGTAGCCCAGCCTGGCCTCAAACTCATGACAGTAATCCTCCTGCCTCAGCCTCCTGAGTGCAGGGATGACAGGTGTGCTGCTCGGCATGAACCATATTTAGGTCAGACTTTTTTTTGTATTCCCAGTGGGGCAGGAGATTAGGGCATAGTAAAGAAGCTGGGCAAGTGGGATAAGTTATCAAGCATGGAGATCCAGGGCTTGCTCAGAACAGCTTCCAAGCCCTGGACCTGGTGCCAATCAGAGAATGGTATCTTTGATTCTCCTGGCACAAGATCAAGCAGGTTTTTGTTTTGTTTTGTTTTGTTTTGGTACCGGGGTCCGAACTCAGGACCGTGTGCTTTTGAGGCACGAATGGTGCCACTGAGCTTAATCCCCCGCTAAGGTTTTTGATAGGACGACCTAGACCTGAAGTCAGAATGAGGGCTTATAAAAGACAGTGGCCATTACCCGTGTGGCTGCTGACATGCCTTTCACTGGCCTGCCCTGCACACCCCAGATTGTACTTCTTTTCTGACTTTAATTGGCCTGCACTCACTCTGCAGAACCTACTTCTTTTCTTATGCTGGATGCCACTGGTTGACACTGCTGGTTGTTGGTTTCTGCCGCTGCCACCACTCAATGCTAGCTTATGCCAGACGCAGTTGTCAACCCTAAGGGTTGTGGCTCTTGCCCATCTTTATCAGTTGTTAGTCTCTGGACTAAAGGGCTAACAGCTCTTTCTTTAAAAGGAGGTGCTCTGTGCAGGTTATTCAGGGTAAGAACCCTGAAGAGATTTATAGGAACTTCCAAGGCTACACTACCTGGGAAGTAAATCGTGAGGATGTGCAAGAATACCAGAGCAAGACTTTATTTGAACACATTTGCTGCAGGACGGGGGTCATACACTGGAGAGAGAGCCCTTTTAGACCAACTGCAGGAGTGTGAGAGGAATGATACTTTTATAGCCACAGCAGGCCTCTGATTGGTCCACATTCAAGCCTGCTGATTGTTCCGAACTGTCTACGCAAGCCTTCTAATGTGATTAGTCCAAATTCAACTCTACTGTTCAGTTCAGATGCAAGCAGGGTAGCATTCCCTGTGACGCGGGGGATATTGAGGTCACCCATAGCTGTCATGGCAACAGTTAGGCTAAACTATGGGAGACATGCGCTGTTTATCAGTTGCATCTCTCAGGAAAATAAAATTCAAAAATCTATCCAGTTGTCAGTATTCTGAGAGTCTAAGTAAAGAGAACCTATAACAGAGAGCCCTGTTTTTAACAAATTAGAAAAAGATCAGCCTGAAACTGGATAGGTTATTATTACTCAGACCTGAAACGTCTCTATTATTTGTTTTCTTAAATTTTATTAGTACATGTTTACATTACATAGTGATTACATTCATCGTAGGGACCTAGTGCATGTACATAACACATCTGAATTCTTTTTCCATCCCCTCGCCTCCCTGTGATTCTATAACGTTGATTCTATAAACTTCCTTTAAAACACACCTTTGGGTAACAAGATGCCTAAACGCGAGTGACTCCCAAAAGCAGCGATGGATAAGCGGCACTGGCGAGCAGCCTCCCTCCAGGCCGACAGGGGTCAGCCGATTTTCAGAAGCGCGGCTCACTCTCGGGTCGCTCCGCCCCACTCCGGAACGTCACGACCTCTCGCCGCCTCTCCACGTCGCTCGTGCGCGAGCGCAGACTGCAACGCGCGCCGCCTGCTCCCGGGAAGGGTCACGAACTCTGACCCCCCCCCCCCAAATACACAAACCCGGAGAGCTCCCGTGCCCCTTCTCCTCAGTCCCCCTGCCTTCAGCTTCCTCTTGCATCCCGTTCCGCCAACCGGCGGCCGGCCCAGCGGACTGTCGGGCCTCGCCCGCCTCGGGAGGCAGCGCGGAGCAGCGCGGTAGGCAGTCCGGGCGGGGAGCGCCGTGGCCTTGGCCGCCGGGCGGGGGCGGGGGCGTCCCGGGTCCCCTCGGCCAAGGGTCAACGGCCGCCACCCGGGCCCCTGGGGTGCCGGTCGGCCCGGGGACCCTCGAGAGCTGCTGGCATCGGTGTAAGCTCTGGGGCCCGGGCGGCGCGCCGGGGAGGCCGAGGCGGGGACGGCGGGGATTGCGGGGATTGCGGCACCTCTGACCTTTCACCCCCCGGGAATCGCTTCCGCCGGGCGCCGCCGCCGCCCCCGCGCCTGGGAGGCCAGGGCCGCGGGGCGCGGTGGCAGCGGGGGTGGCCCACCCCAGCTCCCGGGCTGGATCCCTCTCCCGGCGCCGCGGAGCGATGCTCGGGTTTGGACGGGATGTTTCGGTGATGCTTTCCACTTTAGCTCTTCAGCAAATGGGGAGAGTGCAGCAGCTAGCTTGGATCGAGCTTTGTGGGAAAAACATGGGACGGGGCAGGGTCATCGGGACGCGGGGCACGTCGTCCGAGCTCCCCGTAGCTCGTTTGTTAAGCACACTGCCTCCAACTGGTGCAGATCGCATTTATGAAACACGTACAAAAGTGTTGGCAGGCTAGCGGGGCGTGGTGGCGCACGCCTATTTATGCTAGCCCTCGGGAGGCTGAGACAGGAGGATTACCGTGAGTTCCGGGCCAGCCTGAATTGCTGAGTGAGATCCTGTCTCCAAAGAAAAAGAGAATGTTGCCAGGTTGTTCCAGAACCTTCAGTAAGTAGGTGAGCCTGTAAATAACTGGAAAACAAAAGGAGCAAGACTTGAAGTTAAGTCCTTGAAGGTTTTCGTGTGCGTGTGTGTGTTTTGCCTCTGGAAGTTGTAAACAATAGAGCCAGTTCAAAATAGCCCACCTGCCATCCTAGAGAAACATAGATTTCATTTTACTTAGGTCATGAGCAGTCCCCCGAGGACATGTCAGCAGGTCACAGGACACAGCAGCAAGCCACAGGCCCACCGATTCTTTGACCTACTTCAAACGCCTGCCCAAAGTACACTATAAAAAAGCCTAGAACAGACACCTGTTGTGCTGCAGAGAGGTCCCTGTCAGGTTTCACAGTAAACCTGCGTGGACTGTTGAGTGCTCATCCCTCTTTCCGGCTCAGAAGTGTGTCTTTGATTTGAAGGTTTTTTGAAACAGTTGTCTGCTTGTCTGGTTGGGTGATAAACAGTGATTGTTTTTAAACTGTGTGTCCAGTTGGTAGATCTGAAAGAGAGATTATAGAATTGAACTCAAGCTGTACCTGAGAAAAGGAACTTTCTGGGGTTTTCGACCTTGCAGCTTGGGAGACAGGTTCATGTAGCTCTGAGGCGGTGTTCCAAGGCAGGCAGGCAGAATGGGAGCTAGCTTGGATGGTTGAACATTGAAAAAGAGGGGCTGGGTGTGGTGGCACAGGCCTTTGCTTATAATATTACCTGTCAACGGAAATCTGTTCTTGAATCTCAGCTGAGCCCCTTACACTGCATATTAAGTGAGGGAGCCATCTAGAAATATTAGGTTAAAAAAGCTGTACTGAGCCTCAGAGGTCAGGTAGAATTTGAGCGAAAGGGAGAAGATTAAAATGGCAGCTGGGGAGTATAGTAAGCCCCCCCCTTGTTGGGGTTTTGCTTTCCCTGGTTTCGGTTGTATGCAGTCAGCTGCTGAAATTTTACCCCAGTGGTTCCTGTCGCTGGTCTGGCTGCAGGTTCAAGGAACCTCTTGATGCTTGGCATACATAGAACATGGCTAGTTTTGTGAACTTGAACGTGAATTTGGGTTTTCCCTGTGAGGACAACCTTAACTTCCATCAGATTTTCAAAGGGACCCATCCCACCTCACAAAAATAAAAATCATTGTTTGAAGTCACATTTGCAAATCTGTTTACTACCCACCAGAGTGACAGATTGTACATCTTGACCCAGAACACTCTCACCGTACATATGTAAAATTGAAATATCTTCACCAGACTGTCCTTCCTCTTTGTGCAGCTGATGCACTGGGATTTTCTGTTTTTCTTTTCCGTTCTGGCCGTGACCTACAAATTAATTTCCCCATCCATAGGTGGCTCACGACACAGATTTTGCAAACTATTGCTTTGGATGACAGCAGCCTCTATTGAGTTTGGGAGTGAAACTTATGGGCTAGACTTGGGAGAGAACAGGTAATGGGAAAAGAAGATGAGCTGTGTCTGTTAAGAGCCAGAGATGGGCCCACAAGTAGCCAGAAGTTTTTGACTGAGTGGAGGAAGGATGGCACCGTATTCTTCATCGATGTGTTCGATTCCACGTCTGTCCAAGGAGACGTGAGGGTGAGACACATGTCACTGGACAGAAGAAAGTAGCCCTAACAGGACCGAGTCTCCTGTGGTAACCACTCCAGAACAGAAATGTGGTGTCCTCCTGCTCTCTGCTGTCTCCCTCAGGCTGGAAAAAATACCATGACTAACTGTGACTTCAGTGACTAACTCAGATGCCCCTCTGTGAGGTCCTCTTAGATATGTGAGGGCGAACCTTTCAGAGAGGAGTGCCCAAACTGCAACCCAAACCTACTTACTCATCGCCAAGTGCCAACACTGCCATTAAACCTGAATACTGAGGTTTTAGTTTAGGAAAAAACTCATACATTAACATCTTTTGTCTTAAAAAGAGAAAAAAGCGGCGTGCCATACGTTTGCCATACATTTGCCATCACTGCCCTAGGCCCTCCTCTGTGGGTTCATTCTGTCAGCGCTCTGTTCATGCAGCTAACATTAGTGAGTTTTTCGGTTTTTTCGGTTTTTTTTGGAACCCCAGATGGAACTCAGGACCTTGCGCTGCTTACCAGGCAGGCGCAGCACCACTGAGCTACATCTCCAGCCCCCATTAATGTATTTTTTACCTGTAAGAGACTGTTAGCCATTGGAAGAAATATTTTCACCTACATTAAAATTTTACACTAACATTTTCAAATAGATTGTTTTAAATATTTCTGAAGAAACAGCCTCAGGTTAAGTGGTTGACATGTATTTAGTAAGTGTTAAAAATGGAATTGGTACTTCGAATTGTAGGATACTTTATTATACTACCTGATTTAGTCTGGTTTTTGTTGCTGAAGTAAAATACCTGAGACCCAGTAGGTTTTTTCCCCCTCTGTACTGGAGATTGAACTCAAATTCTTTGCAATTCCCCAGTTCTTTTGAAACCCCCCCCCAACCCATGAAGTGGCACATACCTGTAATCCCAGCACTCAGGAGGCCGAGGCAGGAGGATCTGGGTGAGTTTGAGGCCAGCCTGGGCAATATAGTAAGTTCACAGTGAGACCCTGTCTCACAAAACTAAAACAAACAAACAAAAAGAATAATAATAAAAAAAAGTTGAGACAGGTTTCACTAAGTTCCCCGGGCAATTTTGAATTTGCCACCATCCTGCCTCAGCCTCCCACAATGTTGAGATTATGGATTATAGATATAGCTGGACTGAGTAATTTTTGTTTGTGTTTTGGTTTGTTTGGATTTTTGAGACAGGGTCTCCCTATGTAGTTCAGCCTGAGCTTGCTTGAATTTACTGTGTAGCCCTGGCTGGGCTGAAATTTGAAACCTTCCTGCCGTAGCCTCCTGAGTGCTGGGATTACAGGCAGGCTTGCAACTCCATGCTGGCCATAGGGCTTTATTGGTAAATGTTTGTAGTACATAGCAATTATATTTATCATGGGAAGTTAGTACGTGTATGTAACACATCTTTTTACACATGTGCGCACACACACAGCTGCCTCAGTAGGGGTTCTTTTCATTTTGTTTTTTCTTTGTGGGATGGGCTCTTGCTCTGTTGCCCAGCTAGGCCTCAGCCTCAGGGGTTCAAGCAGCCCTCCTGAGTAGCTGGACAATGGCAGAACGAGTTTATGGAGAAGGAAGAAAACAGAATAGACGTTATTTGGCTCATAGCTCGGGGGCTGAGAAGGCCGGCCATGAGCAGGCTGCCAGCATCAACTGGCTTCTGGTGAGGGCCTTGTGCCGCAAGGCAGGAGAGCGGCAGGCAAACAGACGTGTTCAGAAAAGACAAAATGGGCAGCCTCACTTTGCAACAAACCTCTCCACTGTGACACACCCACTCCCTCAGAGCAAACCTCCTCCTCACAGGGCCGGGGATTTAGCTCAGAGGCACTGCGCCTGCCTTGGCAAGCAAGGTCCTGAGTTTGATCCTCGGTACCACAACAGAACAAAACCTATTCTCACAGAAGCTGACCCGGTGCTGAAGGAATGGCATTAGTGGTTTCCTCCTGCAGGTGCCTGGGCTCCTGTTTGCTTGTTTGTTTGGAGACAGGGTCTCACTGTGTAGCCCAGGCTGTCCTGGAACTCACTGCAGCCCTCCTGCCTCAGCCTCCTGAGTGCTGGGATTGCAGGCACACACCGACTCGGCCCGCTCAGCACCTCTTGCAAGTCCCCACCCGCAGCACTGTTCCCCTGGGTTTCACCCAGATCACACCACCACTTCTAATGTCCTCTTTCTCTCCCTCCTTCCCAGTGTGCCTCACAGATTGAATACAGTTGGTATGTTTTTCTGGTGCAGGGGTTGAACCCAGAGCCTTCACACTGAGTTATATCCCTTTGTTTTTATTTTTTGAGACAGAATCTTGCTGAGTAAGTTACCCAGGTGGGGCTCAAACTTGACATCCTCCTGCCTCAGCCTCCGGAGTAGCTGGTGTTACAGTGTGTGCCACCATGCCCAGCAAAACTGATAATTTTTTATTAATGGTAGCAAACTTTTATTAAAGGTAGAAAAAGAAACAAGCTCTGGAGAGCAAGTTTTGGCCAAGTAGAAGGAAAAGAAATACACTCTAGGGCAGCGCACCATGCAGAGCAAACAAAGTGGCCACAACTAGTAATTTTTAAGTATCTGTTTGCTCATTAAAACACAGGCTTCGTAAGGCTGGCCTGGAACTTACTGTGTAGCCCAGGGTGGCCTGCAGCTCAAGGACAGCAGTCTTCCTGCCTCAGCCTCTGGAGTGCTAGGATTACAGGCTTGAGCCACCACGCCTGGCTTGATACACTCTTGTAAATATGTGCTGCTTTAATGATAAATACCTGCTTTATTCTCAGTGGTTTCATCATTTTCCCCTTACAATTCTTTTTAATTTGTCGTTAGTAATACTGTCCTTTAAAACATCTAAATTTTAGTAAAATAATTGTTTTATTTATTTGTTTGTTTGTTTTGGGTACCAGGGATTGAACTCAGGACGTTGCACGTGCCAGGCAGGTGTGGGGCCATTGAACTAACTCTCTGGCCCTTAAAATAATTATTTTAGGTAAGATTTAAAATCTAGATAAGTTATTTTTGTATTTAGTGAGCATTTTTCTAGATGAACAGGATTGTCGGATGTATTTCAATTTTTTGATTTGTTTACATATGTGTTACATTCATGATAGTTTAGGAAGGGAAATGGGTAATGATGAAAATAGGATTGTAAGTTCTGCTTTGTATTCCTGAATCTGTGATGTACACACATAAATCTTAAGGTGGTTGTTGAGTTGGCTTGGCAGACGCTTGAGGCTAGGAAGAGGCTGTAAACTAGGATGTGATAAGCAGCCGGAAGTCACAGAGAAGATTTTTGTTTTGCCGTGGAGGAGTGAAAGGAAGAGCTGTTTCTGTTTTGTTTGTAACCTGGGCGTTTTCCCCGCCTCTAATCAGCACAGATTGGTGTGTGTAACGCTGGATGGGATGGACGCTCCCGGCTTCCGGAGGGAGCGCAGAGTGACCAGGCAGCGGACCGAGGGCTGCCTGTGTGTTGTTGAAGGGGAGCCAGTTGTGGTGCTGAGGTTCAAACCCAGGGCGGAGCACCCCCGAGGCGAGGGCTCTGCTGCTGAGCTACAGTCCGGCCGCAGAGTGGAGAGTCCAGAGCTCCGCTCAGTATCCGAGCGACCCTTCCTAAACAAGCAGAAGTTTGAATGGCCACGACTGCAGCACTCAACAGGAAGCGAACCGTAGCACTGGCACGCAGGTCCGACAGCCTGCGTTACCTGTGATGTCTCTAACACGCTTTTCATTTGGCCTAGGCAGTGGTCAGCTTGTGGGGTTGTACGGGGATGTTTTTGTTTTGAGGATTTTGTTGGTTTTGTTTCTGAGACAGGGTCACACGACAGAATCCAGGCCATCCCTGAATTCATTTTGTAGTCCAGGCTGGCTTCAAATTCACGATTCTCTTGCTTCAGCTTTCTGAGCTCTAGGATTAGGAGCCTGCGCCACCATCCCCACTTTGTACTGAGATTTGAGTTCAGGTTTTCCTATTCATATGCCCTTTTTTTTTTTTAAAGTAGGACTGGAGATTGAAACTTGGGCCTTCACACTGAACTACCCCCAACCTTTGACACGGGATCTTGCTGTATAGTCCAGGCTGGCCTTGAACTCACTATCTAGGTTCAGGCTGGGCTCAGACCTCCCTCAGCCTGCCTGGAATTACAGGTGTGCACCACCGTGCCTAGTCCAGCCCTTATATTTTTCATTTTGAGACAAGGTTTTGCTAAATTGTCCAGGCTGGGTTTGAAGTACACCAGCAGACTGGGCTCTAGTCGTATGTTTTTAAGTAATCAAATTATAATGACATACAAATAATATTTTACCTGAATTTTTATTATGAAGTAGTATTTTGGAGTCTAGTTTGTTGATAGACTTGTGATGATTAGAGGATTTCTGGAAAAAAGTCTTTTTAAACCACTTTTTGGGTGACTTAATTAATTTTGTAGTAATACTTGTATTTAAGTAAAATTGAAAGGAATAATACTCAGTGAAAAAAATATATCTCCTCCTTCCATTTCCTTTCCTTGGAGGCAGTCTTATACTACTTCTCTGTTTTCCATTTTGGTGATGCTGAGGACTGAACCCATGGTAACTGTGCTTTTATGTGTTTTTCCAAGTATAGGTGTTTTTTTTTTAAAAGTAGATTTTATGTATGCTAGGATTATAGTTATGTGTCACCACACCCAGCTCTAGGCTGGAAGAATTTTGAGGTACATGCTTCTTTTTTTTTTGGTACTGGGAATCGAACTCAGGACCTTGCCCTTGCGAGGCAGGCACAGCACCACTGAGCTAAATCCCCAGCCCTGGTACATGCTTCTTTTTAATATTTATTTATTTATTTTTGGTACCGGGGATTGAACTCAGGACCTTGTGCTTGTGAGGCAGGTGGCAGAACCACTGAGCTAAATCCCTGGTCCTACTTATTTATTTTTAAGACAAGGTCTCAGTATGTGATTCAGGCTGGCCTTGAACTTACTGTGTAGCCCAGGCTGGTCTCAAACTCCTGGTGATCCTCTTGCCTCAGCCTTCCCATGGATTACAGCTGTTTACCACCATGCCTGGCAAGTTATATGCTATTAAAAAGCTTAGATTAGCCAGACGTGGTGGCACACGCCTGAATCCCAGCCTTTGGGAGGCTGAGGCAGGAGGATCACTGAGAGTTCAAGGTCAGCCTGAATTACATAGTGAGACCCTCTCTCAGAAAGAAAAAAAAGCCTAGATTACTTTGAAGAGACTGTTGGTAGAAATAGGAATATTAAAAGTGAGTGTGGTGAGGACTCAGAAAAAGAGAGCTGCAAGACATGCAAGCAGATCACCACAACCAGAAGGGTGACAGAAATACATACATACATCAAGATGTCACTGGAGAAGGCTTGGGAGGAGGTGAGGAAGGAAGGGGGTACTGGACACTGGGGGTTTGTTATAAAGTGACGGCAAACTTGGCTGAATTTAAAAGGGATGAACTAGGACAGTGGTGGCGCACCTGTGGCCTTCATGCCAGGGCAGGCACACAGAGCCCTCTGGGTGTGCAAGCCAGGTCGCCCCAGCTGCTGAGCGTCGGGTGACAGTTGTTTTTTCTAAACTGAAAGCTCAGTATTCAGGTTTAATTGCAGTGTTGGTACTTGGTGATAAATAAGTGGGTTTGGGGTTGCAGTTTGGGCATGCAGTCTCTAGAAGATTCGCCATCACTGAACCAGGATACTTAGCTGAGGCAGTTTCTAAGCAAAATGTTGGATGCTCAGCCTATTTCCTCTTTGCTGTTTACAGTAAAATGCAAAGAACAAAGAGTTAAATTGAAAAGGAAATAAGGAAAATGAAACCAGAACTTGAAGATTTGGAAAATTCTTAGCCTAACCACATTGGAAAATAATAAGAAGGTATTGTGGAGAGAGTGTCCAGGGTGTGACAGGAGTCACCTTGGAAGAGAGGCTGGTTGTGGGACTTCCGGTCCAGTTAGGCATCCGGAAGGAGCCTGGCACAGGCATAGCATTACCCAGAAGGCTCTGGGGGACTCATCTCATGACGTAGATTCCCAAGAGGTAGTGCACAGGAGGCCAGTAAGATGGGACCAGGAGAAAGGCCACCAAGCTCAGATGTAGAGGACAGAGACAGGATGAGACCGAAGCCAGGCTTCGGGACTTCTGGGGCTCAGCAGGACAGGACCCCAGAGGTGGGCGGAGCAGGTAGGTCTGCCACTGTCACCCTGGCCGAGTGCACACGCCCCAGGATGGCGGGGCTGTCACCTTGTTGGTTCTGGCAAGGTTGGGGTTACCCCTTTCAATCTTAGTAAGATTTAGTTGAATAATCAAGTTAAAAATTGTACCTTTTTTTTTGGTACTGGGGATTGAACTCAGGACCTTGTGCTTTTGAGGCAGGCGGCGGCACCACTGAGCTAAATCCCCAGCAGTGCACTTACACATTTTGATGCAAATCCTAAATATTATATAGTTCCAGTTAAAAATTCTTCAGTGAATATGTTTTTGTGTACAATAGTGAAAAAGCATCTTTTTATTTTTGGCAGGCCATTTGAACAGTTAGATCATGGCAACCATAGAAGAAATTGCGCATCAGATTATTGAACAACAGATGGGAGAGGTACGTCTAGTTTACAGTTGCTTTATTGACTCACCATACTTTTTACTGTTTCCACCAAGTGTGTGTGCAAGGTCCTGGAGGTGCCAAGATAGAAGATACCTGACTTGAAGGTAGCTTTCCGGTCTCATGAGGGCTGAGGATTGCTTGTGGCAGGCACTGGTCGAGACGCAGAACCCTTGACAGGGAAGCTGGTCTAGCGTAGTGTGTTTGTAGGCACATCTCCAGCCGGAGGAAGCCAAAACATTTTTTTAAGTTGTAAAAAAATTACTTCATGAGTCTTTGATTTTTTTTAAAAACATGTGTTTTTATGGGTGTTTATTGGTGTCTTTGTGCTCTGGATAATTTCTTGCTAGACTGTGTCATTTTTATTTTTAATAAACATACCTTCCCTTTCCTTGCTCAAAAAGAAGCAAAGAGAAGGGTCAGGGCTGAGGTGGTAACTGTGTAGGCGCCAGTGTCCCAGCTGGTGAAGGGAAGAGCGGTGGGAAGTGCAGACCGGGCCAGGCCGGGTTGCAGGAGGGGGACCTGAGGCAGGTCTTCTTGTTGGCAGTGCTGGGGATGGAACTCAGGCCTTACACACGCTAGGCAAGTGCTCTGCCACCGGGGTGAGGTACAGCCCTAGCCCTTGAGTGTTTCTTATTTGTTTATTGTTGCTTTTGTTTGATTTTTGAGACAGGATCTCATACATTGCCCAGGCTGGCCTGGAACTCCCAATCCTCTTGCCTAAGCCTCCCAGGGAGCTGGAATGGGCACTGATGTGTCCTGACCCAGGCCAGCCTTGATGGTTCATGTCAGTCCTGGCAGTTGCCTTTTTTAAATGGTTATGTCCTGTTATTTAGCACAAGGGACTGTGGTATGAAGTCTGGTTTTGGGGTTTTATTCAGGTTTGGCTCCTTACCCCTGGAACTGTTATTTGTTAAGTGACTAGAATACTGTTGAGGCACTTGAGGCCCAGGAGTAAGCCTCAGAAAACAGGGCCTCTTGGTGACCTTTTGTTTCCTGCCTTGTGGGGGAGGCTGGGCCTGCTGCACCGTAGTCCCAATGAGAACAGTCTCAGCACCTGACAGGGAGAAGGTCGGGTGCTGGGCCTTGTCCCTGGTTAATTTGAGACCCAGAAACAGTCAGGCATGGTTACACACGCCTGTAATTCCAGCGCTTGGGAGGCTGGGACAGGAGCATCATGAGTTCAGAGCCAGCCCGGACTAGAGACACATGATCTCAAGAAGAACAAAACAAAAAACTGCCCCCCCGCAAAAAAAAAACCCAAGCAATAACTAAGTCATGACAAACTGACAGCACATGTCCTTTTTCTCTGGTTACATGTATTCTCTTAAATTGAATGATTACTATATGAATTTTAAGTACATAAAATGTGCTAATTCAATTTTTTTAATTAAAAAATATATTTTGATGGGGGTTTTTTGTATTAAATTCTTTTATTGGTACATTGTAGGTATACAACACAATTACATTTCTCATTGGGAATTGTACCTTTATATAATGCATCTTGGTTCTTATTTTATTTTGATGTTTTTGAGACAGAATCTTGCTATTTAGCTCTGGCTGGCCTTGTACTCACTGTGTAGCCCAGGCTGACCTTGAACTCATGGTGATCCTCCTGCCTCAGCTTACAGAGTCCTGGGTTTGCAGGCATGTGCTACCAGGGCCAGCAATGCACTAATTTTAAAATATATGTATTTATATAAATTTTTAACAGTAAAACTACCACCCACATTAAGATCCAGCAGTAATTTTACATATGAATGCCACATAAAATCTCTTAAATGTGAATTACCTTATAATATCCTTATTTCTGCCTAATAAAAATGTTGCCCTCCATTTCTATGACCTAAAGAGCTTCTGTTCCCTTTAAAACCTTTTTAAAATAAAATGTGAGTATCTCACATCAAAGTTTGATGTTTTTTATTCGATTTGGGTCTTATAAATTGGGAATTTAACCAGTTTATGAGTTTAATTCACCTGTACCTCGTTGATGTCTTTTATGCTAATTTTAATGTTTCCTTGTTTTGGGGGGTTTTTTTTTTCTACTCTTCTTGATTTTTCACTTCTTTTCAGTTTCAGAAGCTTGGAGTGTATATATTCTATTTTTGTCTGGAACTCCATGATAAATTGACTTATATGAATGCCCACTGTTTCAGTAACTACTGGTTTTCCCAGTTTAGTATATCAAACGTATCCACCCCTATGCAGCTAGTGCGTGGTTAATTTTCTTCTACTATATTAATGGTATGAACTTGCTAAATGCCAGTAGACACTGTGCTGTTGTAGATGTGCAAGAGAAAAATCTGAGGTCAGTCCGACGTACTAGATTTTTTTTTTTTTTTTTTTTTTTTTAAGACAGGGTCTCACTTCATAGTTCAGGCTGTCCTTGAACTATGTAGTCCAGGTTGGCTACAAACTTGCAACGATCCTCCTGCCTCAGCCTCCCAAGTGCTGAGATTACAGGCATATGCCACCATGTGTGGCTTTTTTTTTTGTAAGGGAAATAAAATTGCACCATTTTCCAGTTTTGTCAGATTAATATCTAGATTGTCTTTTTTTTTTTTTTTTTTTTTTTTTTTTTGGTACCAGGGATCGAACTCTGGTCCTTGCACTTGCACAGCAGGCGGCAAAACCATTGAGCTAAATCCCCGGCCCCAAGATTGTCTTTTTTTAAATTTTGGTATCAGGGATTGAACCCCGGACCTTGTGCTTTCAAGGCAGGCAGTGGAACCACTGAGCTAAATCCCCAGCCCATAGTGTCTTTAATGTATTTGTCCTGCCCACAGTGACAAAGCACTATTGTCTTACACACGTTTGGCTTAACAGCATGCATCTTTATATAATACTACACGGGAAACAAAACTATCTATTTGCCCAATACATTGAATATTTGCATGCACTTTGACAATTTAAAACTATATAAACGGAAAATTTTAGATCTAGTTTGTAAATCAGTTTTTACATTTAGGTTTACATTTATTACCCTATATGTAACAATTTTAGACATCATGCTTCTTAACTAGATTAAATGATTACCATCAAATCTTTCGTACAATTGTCTCCCTACTCTTTAATTTCTCTGTTGGCTGCAGTAAATGATTGGACACATTTTTCAGAGGAGGTTCTTGTTTGGTGTACGTTCTTAACCTCTTGGGATCTGAGAGTGTCTTCCAGTTGCCTTCATACTGAAATACTGACTGGGGAGGGCATATAATTCTGGTTCCAAATTGTTTTTCCTTAAAACTCTGTAGATGTTGTTCATTGCCTTCTGGCATTTAGAATTGTAAGAGAAAAACTTGAGGTGAGTCTGACTTTGTCCCTTTATAGGTAATCTGCTTTCTCTGTCTGGATACTAGCAAAATATCTTCTTCACTGTTGAAATTTAAAAGTTTACCAGGATATGTCTAGCTGTTGCTTTCTTTTTTTTTTTAATTCTTTTATTGGTACATTTTAGGTATACATTACGTTTACATATATCATTGGGTGCTTGTACCTGTACATGATGTATCTTAGTTCTTATTTTTTCCCCTAGGTGTTGCTTTCTTTGTAGTAAATTTTAAAGGTGTCCTGTGAGCCTTTTTCCATCACAGGCCCACTTTGTTCTTCAACTCTGAAAGGGTTTCTTCATTATTTTTTCAGCTTTGTTTGCTTGTCCTCTGTTTCAGGTATTCCTATTATGCATAGATTGTATCTCCTGGATGGGGCTCTACATGTCTCTCTTTCTTCTCTTTTTGTATCTTGATTTCTTTGGTCTTTTCCTCTATATTCTGTGAGAATTTCTCTTTGTTTTGCATTTACTTCAGCAATTTTATTTTGTGACGAAATCCACTTATATAATTTCCTTTAACCCTGTCAAGTCTAAGACATCTTCCCTTTCTTCTAATATACTCTACTCTATAGGTGGGCACATCTTTGATACCCGCCATTGGAAGAGGTGTAACACTTTCTAGGTCTGAATGACTTCTGTTGTAAGACATTTAATGCCCTAGCTCTTCCGTGGATACCGGTGGCATCTGATTCAAGAAGAGGTATTTTCTCGATTACTTAGTTCTGTTCCTTTCTTCTGAACTGTGGTATTGGGACCTTGTCAGCTGCTCTTCTTAGTGGGGTCCAAAAATTAGTGCTAAAGTTGAAGAGCATCTAAAATGGCAGTAATACATGTTCTTAGTGATAACTGGTATAGAAACAAAGGTAGATTGTCTTAAAATTGCAAATATGTCCATAATTCGTATTGTAACCATACTACTCCCCCTCCTTTTCCAGCACTTAGAATTGAACACACAGCCTTCACACTGAGCTATTCCCCAGTCCTTTTTTCATTCTTTATTTAGACACAAGGCCTCGTGAAGTAAGTTGCCTAGGCTGGGCTTGAACTTTGAATCTTCCTGCCTCAGCCTCTTAGATGGCTGGGATTATAGGCATGTTCTGCCATGCCTGCCTATCTCAGTGATAGCTAATGTTGATAATAAAAGACTTTAAAATTAAGTTAAAGCCTCAGGATGCAATACCTATTTAAAAAACGACTGGCCTGAGGAGAAATTACATCTAACTAACCAGCAACTGATTTGTGTATTAAAAAGACCTGCACAAGTTTATCAAAAGGCAAATTAGCAGTAGACAAAATAATCATGACCAGTACAAAAATACAAAAATGTTTTCATAGGACAAGTTATTTATTCAAATCTATCCCTGCCCCACACTGGTGGAAAGGGGGATTGCAGGTTTGAGGCCAGCCTGAGCAGTTTAGCCAGACCATCTCAAGATAAAGCCAAAAAAGGGTCGGGCTGGATGTAGCTCAGTGGGAGAGTGGTTGCCTAGCACGCGCAAGGCCCAGGGCCCAATCCCCAGTACTGGATAAATCAAGACAAAAAAGCCCTTGTGAGAGATTGCTGAGTATAGTGTTCACCTGAGCTCTGTGAGCTGTTCTAACAAATTAATCAAACTTAGAAGCAGTGATTTAAAAGAGTAATCATTTTCATTTTTTGAGACAAGGTCTCACCATATTGGGCAGACTGTTATTGCACTCCTGAAAAACCCAGTCTGTGCCTGGCTGATCAGAAATGCCAGAGGCCTTGACTTAGAACCACATCTGAGATCAGGTCAGCCTTGAGGGCTGTGCTGTCTCCAGTGTGTAACACCAGAACTCTGTTCTGGCGGAGGATACGTGGCTGATACCTGCTGTATTTCCCTCCTTTCGGTAGGGAAAAGTCCCCACACCTTGTTAGGCCACAGAAGTCTCAGCACAGTAAAACCACTGCTTTGCTAGACACACAGTGGCATACGTGGCCCAGATGTTCTCGAGGTATCATCTAGGGACCTTTCAGAACGTCAGCAAGCTCAAAGCTTTCTTCGTAATGACACTCAGATGTCCCTTGCCTCTTCACTGTTGCTTTGACAGGGACACTGGACTTTGCAAAAGCTGCCTAATTCAGTGTACCGATGCATGATGGTAGGAAATCACATGAGCACAAGAGCTATTCCGTTTGCAGAGAGGCCTGTGGATTTTAATATAGCTTTTGGTTACACATTGCAGCTAATCTTTAAATTTACGTTTCATTTAAAAAAGTTATTTCTGTTAACATATAGTGAATAATTTTTAATAAACTATTTTTTTAAATTTCTCTTAGAAAATTTTTTTTGTTGTACTAGGGTTCAAACTTGGGACCTTGCGCTTGCAAGGCAGGCACTGGAACCACTGAGCTAAACCCCCGGCCCAGAAATTTTAATATGTTAATTATCAGTCAGTATAACCCACATAAACCAAAGCTCTTTGGGATCTTCAGTAAATTTTTGGAGTGAAAAGGGGTCCTGGAGAACTGTTAGTGTAATTCACTGCTCTTCTCTGAAGACCATTTGAATTGTTTTGATTTTCAATTTCTACGATTATTATGTGGCAGCAAATATTTTCTTACCCATCTAAGTGCGTTTCAGCCCAGGAACACTGGCACCATGTGTGCCCCAGAACTGTCTTCTAAGAAATAAGTGGGAGCCTTGAGTCTTTTATTGAACTCACACTGAAGACTGCTAATAGAAATAGAATAGAACTGACAATTTAAACATGGTAAAGCTTGTTACACATGAACCAATTCAGTCACATTTTAAAGCTGGGCATGGTAGTGCACACCTGTAAATCCCAGCACTTGGGAGGCTGAGGCAGGAGGATCATTGTGAATTCAAGGCCAGCCTGGGCTACATAGCGAGACCTTGTCTCAAAGGACCAAAAAAGAAAACAAACAAAGGTGTATCTTGTAGGTAACATCAACATATTGGGTAGGGTGAAGACTGGGCTTAGAGTTTTAAAAAATGCACCCAGAAAAATAGGACTTGGTAGAAATAATGGTCAACAAGGAAAACTCAAATTATGTCACCTAAAATTAGTACAATTTGCTGTAGACAAAAGCTGATGGATGAATCAAAACTTAAATTTTGCATACAAAGAATTATGATAGATGTATTTCAGGAAAATAAAAATGGAAATTTGCCGTTTGAAAATTGAATCAAGGGATTAAATTAGCGTATTAAAGTTTACTCTGGAAAATACCTGCTCAGAACAAAAACTGTCTGTCTTCACCTCTCTCTGTGTGTGTCTGTGTCTGTCTGTCTTGGGTACTGGGGATTGAACCCGGGGAGCATTTGCAAGCTTTTTTTTTTTTTTCTGATGGGGTCACTGAGTTGTGCAGGCTGGCTTCGTTGGGATCCTCCTGCCTCAGCCTCCTTGGTAGCTGGGGTTGCAGGTGTGCAGTGTCGTGCCTAGCTGACCAGAACTCCAGTGCTGGGATAGCTCTGTCCATGGTGAGCTCCCTGCCCTGGACCCCTCTCCACAGACCACAGCTCTGCTCCTGTGGTGCAGTCACCCTTGACTTCCACTTCTCCTCCGCTCCGGCCTCAGCGTGTCCTGTCAGCTCTGTCTTCTCAAACCTCAGGTTGAGTCGTTTTCACACCCAGTGTAGCCACTCCTCGTAACCTGGGTATTGACAACAGCTACAGCAGCATCCTTGTTGATCTCTCTTAATTCTTCTCCGATACTGGGGGTTGAGCCCAGGGCCTTTGCACTGAACCATGTCCCAGCCTTTTTTTTTTTTTTTTAGTACCGGGATCGAACTCAGTTCCTTGGGCTTGCACAGCAGGTGGTGAAACCACTGAGCTATATCCCCAGCTCTGTCCCAGCCTTTTAAAAATGTTTGAGATGAGGTCTCACCTAGTTGCCCAGGTGGGACTCCCGCTTTGCCGCCCTCCCGCCTCATCTTCCCTCGGTGCTGGGATTACAGGGGTGCACCAGCACACCTGAGTTGTTTTGGTTTGGTTTTTGGAGGCACAGTCTGGATTTTTGGAGTGTGGGCCGTCTTTGAACTTGGGATCCTGCTGTCTCAGACTTCCAAATGCTGGGATTTAATTCTATCCTTGAACATTTAAATTCTGTTCTTTACACTAAATCTAGTTTGATCACACTACATTTTGAATGATTCCTTTTCATGTTTCTGCTTTTTTGTTTCTTTTTGTTTTTTAGCCTGTGAGACACAGGCTAAACTCACTCTGTAGCTCAGGCTGGCCTCAAACTTGTGATCCTCCTGTCTCAGCCTTCAAATGCTGGGATCACAGGTGTGTGCCACCAGTCCTGGCTACGTTTATTATTTGTTGAATTCTTGATGGCAGCCGTTCTGACTGGGGTGAGCTGGAATCTTGGTGTAGTTTTGATTGCATTTCCCTTATGGCTAACGATGTTGGTGGATCTTTTATGTACACCCATTGGCCATTTGCATTAGTCTGACCTTTTCCTCAGAAGGAAGCTCCTGCCACACTCTGCTCCTGGCTCTGGGTGCACAGAATAGGGAACAGTGACTTGTGTGGCCTTTTGTGTGGCCCTCGCCGCTCATACTCCGTCTTCCACTGTGTCCCTGTCCCACTGTGTCCCCCTGATGCAGTTCCTTTGCTGTGTGAGGCAGCGCCTTGTACATTCCGCTTCCTCCATAGGGTGCTCTTCGGGCGGGTCAGCAGCCTTGCTCTGTCCCCCAGGTTCTGTGCACTCCTTCCTGCAGCACCTCACCCTTCTTGCCTGCCTGGCTGACCCTAGTAACACCTCCACTCCCCACTGAGAGGCTTCTCCAGGCAAAGGTCTGGTGCCTCTCAAAGCTGTGCTGAGGACCTGGAGCAGCAAATGGAAGCTTTCCTAAGGAGGGCGGGAGGGGCAGCACGTCATCTTGTGTTGCACCTTTATTTTTTACTTTTTGGTGCCGGGGATCGAACTTGGGTCCTTAATGCTTGTGAGGCAGGCACCAGAACCACTGAGCTAAATCCCCAGCCCAATTGCACCTTTATTTATTGCACTCTTGTTCATTGCTGTAAGCTGTAATTTCATGAAAGTAGAGTTACAAGTTGAAAAAGTATATAGTGGTGGCTTTTCTAGCTCTGTCTAAAAACAGAATCGTGTCATTCGGTGGTTGGAGTATTTTGTCCCATTGATTATGCATTTGACGTGATTGTGTCAGATCGTTACTGAGCAGCAAGCTGCGCAGAAGATCCAGATCGTGACAGCACTGGACCCTAATGCCCAGGGCAAGCAATTCATCCTGACGAGCCACGGTGGCTCCGCCCCCGGCAAGGTCCTTCTGGCCCGGCAGGACTCAGCTCCTGGGAAGGTTTTCCTCACCACTCCAGATGCTGCGGGCGTCAACCAGCTATTCTTCACCGCCACTCCCGACCTGTCTACACCGCATCTCCAGGTAGTGATGCAGAGGCATCTTTTCCTTTTACACTTAGAAAATATTCATGAGCACCGCGCCCATCCTGCATGGGGCGGCACGCCTCTGTGAGATGCTGGGCCCAGCCAGGCAGTGTGGTGATGCCCCTCATGTGTCCCCGTCCTCAGAATCCTCACTTGCAGTGCAGACTGGGGGTTCCTAGCTACATACAGGAAGATTTACTCTGGCTACTTTGGCTAGGGAAGGATTTGTAAAGAATACAGAAAGCTCACAGAATCACTGGGTAGGCTGAAGCAACAGTGTGAGGCCAGCTTTCCAAGAATAGCTAGCTGTTGGAGCTTGCTGCGAAACCAACTGGAGAGACCTCCTACTTCTGCACAGCTAGGAAGCTGGCTTCCTTTGGCTGCGGTTCCCAGGACCAAGCTGCCTGTGCCGCAGGAGGCGCCAGATTCAGTAGGAGCGAGCTGCGTTCCTGGCTTGTCCCTTCCACCACTGACCCGGCAAGCAGCGTGTCCCTGCCTGCTTCATGGTGGGAGCTGGTCAGCCTGTCCGCTTAGTCTGGAAATTAAAATTACTTGTCCTGTTTCAAGGAGCTGGTCCCTACTTTATAGGCTGCATGCTGTGGTAGTGTAGTTAACTCCTCTGCCCTCAGCTACGGGTAAATACAAATTCAGCTCACCCTAGGTTTGCCTCCAGAGACTTCAGAGGGGTGTCCGCCTAAAATTGGGTTCCACTTTTGTGATGGAAGAGCTTTTCTTTTAGGATTGAAAAATTCGTATTTTATAGAACAAAGTTTTGCCTCTGGGTTTATCGTAATAGATCCTGTTCTTCCAATGACATTATTTGTATTATTTTAGAAACTGAGTAGAATATAGATAGGACCATAGTTAAGAAGTTGTTTTATCAACAATGCAAGATTAAAAAAAAACTCAGTATATACATATCTTAATTTCTTTAAACTTTTTGTTGTTCTTGTTGTTGTTGTTTCTTTTTTTTTGGTACTGGGGATTTAACTCAGGACCTTGTGCTTGCGAGGCAGGTGACAAAACCACTGAGTTAAATCCCCGGCCTCTTTAAACTTATTTTTTGCTTCATTTCTTCATTATTTAATATTAGACTTAGTTGTTTTACAGCTTTAGATTTACCAAAAAATCAAAGATTTAGTGCAGTTGCAATAGTACTCCCCAGAATTTCCCGTAATATTTTACATTCTTGTGATATATTTGTTACAACAGATGAACCAGTATTGGTGCATTAATTAAACTCCATAGGTTTTTAGTCTTTCCTTAGTTTGTATCTAAGGCCCTTTCTCTTCTTTTTTCTTACAGTACTGGGAATTGACCCCAGGGTCTCCTGTGTGCTGGGCAAGCAGCTATCACTGAGCTATGTCCCAGCCCTTTTTTTTTTTTTTTTTTCAGTTTTTGATCAGGTTCTCGCCACGTTTCCCAGGCTGGCCTGGGCCTTGTGATCTTCCTGCCTTCGCCTGTCTAGTGGGTTACAGAGATTAAATGCGGGTTTGTCCAAGTGCAGTGGCGCTCTGGGCTCTGAAGTCCTTTTGTGTTGCTCCAGGGTAGCATGCTGAACTTCCTTTTCACATCCTCGTGGGTTTCTGGTAGCCCCGATAGTTTCGCAGACCCCGTTTGGCGGCCCGGGCAGTTTTGGGGGCTATGAACAGTGATCTCTATTGTTGAATGTCCCACTTGGACTGTGTCTGATATCTTTCTCATGATTAGACAGGGGTCACAGGTCTTGAGGAGAAAGGTTACAGAGATGAAACACCGGTTTGTCATATATCAAAGGTTTTTACTGTCAACATAATGTATGACTTGTCAGGTTGACTCTGATCGCCTGGCTGAAGTAGTATTTATCAGGTTTCTTTGAAAAATTACTCTTTTTTTCTTTCTTTTTTTTTTTTTTGATACTGGGGATCGAACTCAGTACCTTGTGCTTGCAAGGCAGGCTCGGGAACCGCTGAGCTAAATCCCTGGCCCCAAAATTACTCTCTTTTTTTCCCCCTTAGAAGTCTCTATTTTATTATTTATTCATTTTTTTTTCCAGTAATGGGAATTGTACTTAGGACCATGTGCTTGCCAGGCAGGCATGGTGCCACTGAACTACATCCCCTGCCCAGAAGTCTCTGTTTTATTTTTGTTTTTTTTGGTACCAGAGATCGAACTCGGGACCTTGCACCTGCAAGGCAGGAGGCAGAACCACTGAGCTAAATCCCCAGCCCGGAAATCTCTGTTTTAAATTTCAGTATAATATTGGTACTTGACTACTTAATGGATTGTCTCTAAGAGCAGTGAGAGAGAGGCAGATAGAGATTGGAATCACCTGAACCAAGAAGATTTGATTTCTGGACTTTTGCCCTAAAATGGGATGTGAGGCATCCTTTTACCTCCCCATAGCTTTTCTGTCCTTTCTGTAAGAGTCATAGCTGATAAAAGGTTAGCAAATTGTGTAGTAGATATATGAGTAAGGGAAGGAGTGATGCTGTGGTGCTTTCAAGAGACTTAGAATACCATAAGTTTTGTTTTTTGAGACAGTCTTGCTGTGTGGACCGGGCTGGTCTCGAACTCATGGCTCAGCCTCCTGAGTTCTGGGATTACAGGTGTGTGCCAGCATGCCGGGCTACCAGAAGTTTTTGTTCTTTTAAAGTACTTATCAAAGACTGATTTTTTTTGTGATACAGGAAGTGATGATGCCTTGTGTCACATAGTTAGGGGCAGTCGTTTTTTGGGGGGGGCGGGGTACCAGGGATCGAACTCAGGACCTTGCTTTTGTGAGGCAGGCGCGGTGCCACTGAGCTAAATCCCCGCCCCAAGGGGCAATCGTTTTAAGAACCTTTTAAAGTTCTTTGTGTGTTTGCTTTTCTCACTTAAACTTCTCAAAGGGATTCATACTCCAGTGAAAAAAAAAGGGCCAGGGTAGAGAGGATTACTGTGTGGCTTAACAACAAAAGGAAGGTGTTTGCTAAATGTCAGAGCCCAGTTTTTGGATTGAATTAATGATTTATTTACATTTTACAAGATTGTGTGAAAAGGGTGAGAAGGCCAAGGGTAAACCTAGAAAAAGAAACTAGCATTCCTTTGCCAGCTGCCTATTGGCTGCGGCGGAGCGTGCGTCCTTCCCGTAAGGAGGCAGCCTGAGGACTTTTCGGGCCGCTTCCCCGCCTGATCCGCTGTGCACCTCGCTCTCATCCACACCTGACCCAAACCCAGTCTGTGCCTTTGTTTAGCAGTCATGCCCGCATAACTAGTTAGGGTTCTCTGTATTTCCCCTTTCCACTGAAAAACTTCAGCGCTGTCTTTTTATGGTATTGCGACCTTTGGTCAAGTCATTGCTGTGAAAAGTGCAGAGCCTTTAGAGGTGCTGTCAGGACAGGACTGCTCAGGGCGGGCTCGCCCAGGGATCCGCCCCACGAGGCCTGGGCTGAGGCTGTGCCCCTGGCTTACGCTTGAGCAGTTTGGTTTCTTTGCTCTGCGACAAAGTGAAAAGATACCCTTACCCTCTTTGTTTCTTGTAACACTGACCCTTTCACCATATATAAAGAAAAATAAGATTAGGTAATTATAGAGTTTAAAGTGTAATAATTTATAAAGAAAGTAAAAAGTAAGAATGAATTTTTTTTTTATTTTTACTAGAATGAGAATGTTACTGAGTAATAACATTTATTTTCTTTTTTTTAAAGCTCTTAACAGATAGTTCTTCCCCAGACCAGGGACCAAATAAGGTTTTTGATCTTTGCGTAGTATGTGGAGACAAAGCATCAGGTAACATTAAAAATAACTCCTACAAGTGTTGTGTTGTTAAAATAACTACGATATCACCATGTTTCTTCTAAAAATAAAAAGAAATAAAGAAGTGGGTCATTTTCATGGTTCATATTTGTAGCCTATAATATTTAGCTAATTTTTTCTCAGCCTTTTAAAGTTCACTTTTTAAAACTTTGATGCAATTTAATTTGTAATGAATAAAATATATATTTCAATGAGCTATGAAAAATTTCATTTTTGAAAGTGAAAAAAATTTATGAATGTGAAAACAAAATTTATGAAAAGACTCACTTTAGAAATGAATTGTGATCTTTTGTAATGTATCACATTTTTATCCTACTTCTTGAGTCTTGCCCCAGGAATAATTTGAATTATTGAGGTGGAAAAAACTTTGGGTTCATCTGGAAAAAATCTGGTTCATCTCATATATTGTGGTTTAAGAAATGAGTTTATTTCTATTCTTAAAAATGAGTCTTTTGTGTTTTCTTGAACATTTTATCTCTAGGGCGTCATTATGGAGCAGTAACTTGTGAAGGGTGCAAAGGATTTTTTAAAAGAAGCATTCGAAAAAATTTAGTGTACTCATGCCGTGGATCAAAGGACTGTATTATTAACAAGCACCATCGGAACCGCTGTCAGTACTGCAGGTTACAGAGATGTATCGCCTTCGGAATGAAACAAGACTGTATGTATTAGCTGGAAAGGAGGCTTCTGACAAATTAACACATTAAAATATGTCTAATGTATGTTTTACAGATTTTCAACTAAAGATAAAAGGATATGTACATGTGTATGTCTTATTTAGTCAACAGAGGTTTTGTAGCAAGCCTCTTTTCCGGGTGCCTTGTGCTGCTGGGGATCACAGCAGGCCCTCACGCGTGCCAGGAAAGCACTGTCCCGCCGAGCCACACTCTAGCCCACATGCATATATTTTTAGCTTGAATTTAGCACAACAAACAACAACAGTAATATAAAGCATAACTAGCCAGGTACGATGGTGTGCATCTGTGGAAGCTGAGGCAGGAGGATTGTGAGTTTTTCAGGTCAGCCTGGAGCAAGACTTGTCTCAACAGAACCAAACAACAAAAAGAGCATAACTAACTTTAAGATGCCAGTTTACTGGGGTTTTTTTCCTTCTTGTGTTTGATTGATTGATTAGTGTTATGAGACTACGTCTTGCTGTGTCACCCATGCTGGCTTTGGACTTGTCAGGATCCTCCTGCTTCAGCCTCCTGGCTGCTGTGACTACCGGCACATGCCACAGTGCCTGGCTTACCAAGCTACTTTTCCACTGAACTTCTACAAAGAGATTCATGGAGGCTGAGGCACCGGAGCCCAGGAGTTCACACCAAGCTGGGCAACATAGCAAGACCCCCATCTGGAAGGAACTTAAATAAGGTCACAAGAGAGCAGCTGACCCTGCACCGATGGACCCCTGCCATCTCCCAGTCGGCAGCTCATACGCATAACAAGTGACAAGACTTTGCTTTGAATCCTAGCAGTTGGTGTGGTTGTTACCGTGGATCCCCTACACACAGATGTGCGCTTAACAGGATACCTTATCTCTTTATTTTATTATGAAATAAGATTTTTATAAATATTTCATATTACCTGTATTAACTTTCATATATAATATTATAAAGACCAGGCAGTTGAATTAGTTGACTTACATCTGAAAAAAATCTCACTGCTGTTAGCTAAAAAGGGTGATATATCTTAGGACTTTTTGTGACTATTGGTATTATTTTCTTTAAAAAAATTTTTTTTCCGGTACCAGGAATAGAACTCGGGACCTTGTGCTTGCCAGACAGGTGCAGTAGTCTTAATTTAATTTAATTTTTTTGTTGTTGTTGGTGGTTTCTTTTTGTTTTTGTTTTTTTTGTACCAGGGATCGAACTTGGGACCTTTTGCTTTTGAGACAGGCGGCGGCACCACTGAGCTAAATCCCCGGCCCTAATTGTATTTTTTTAATTAGATTTCTAATTTTAGTTCTTTTTTAATTTTTTCAGTAGTAGGGATTGAACCCAGGGCCTTTGTACTGAAATATTCCTAATCCTGCCCCCTTTTTTAAAAATTGTTTTTATTTCAAGACAGGGTCTCATCGAGTCACTGAGTTGCCTGTTCTGGGCTTGAACTTGTGAGCCTTCTGCTTTGCCCTCCCAGAGTGCTGTGATTACCAGCATTTCCCACCACACTGGGCCAGTTACTCCTTCCTAACTGAGCTTTTATTCTTTGTGCGTGTGTGCGTGCTTGTGCCCCACACATGTGCATGCATGCTACTAGGGCAAGATCCCAGGGTCTAGCACTGAGCTATGTCCCCTACCCTTTTTATTTTGAGACAAGGTATTGCTGAGTCGCTAGGCAGGCTGTGAATTTTCAGTCCTTCAGCCTTCCAGGTGGCTGGGACTATAGGCATCCCCCACCTTACCCTGTGACAGTGATTGATTGATTGATTATTTATTTATTTATTTATTTATTTTTTAATTGAGACAGTGTCTCACCATGCAGTTCAGGCTGGTCTTGAACTCACAGAACTCCTCCTGTCTCGGCCTCCAGAGTGCTGGGATCATAGGTGTATGCCATTAGGCCTGGCTTGACAATGAGCTTTTAAAAAATGAAAGTTCCTCTACGTTTCTATCACAGGGATGATTGGATAGGGAGAAACCAGGGAATGAGAGATGTAACATGGCCGATTTTACAGAGGAAGCAGCTTTGTTGAATTTACACATAATTTCCAAAGACTTATGGTTATCTTTGGAATTCGGTGTTTTAACCATGGCTCCTATTAGCAGCATTGCTGATCCTGAGCTTAATTTATAATAATTGGCTATAAGTTCTGTATTATAATTGTTGAACACATTTTTGTAGCTGTTCAGTGTGAAAGAAAACCCATTGAAATGTCCCGAGAAAAATCTTCCAACTGTGCCGCTTCAACAGAAAAAATCTATATCCGCAAAGACCTTCGAAGTCCGCTGGCTGCAACTCCGACTTTTGTGACAGACAGTGAGGCCGCAAGGTAATGTGCAGCAGCGCAGCAAGTCTCCGCCCACTTGCTCCTCCCCAGGGACTGATGTCTGTGCTCCTGTTGCAGGTCCGCGGGGCTGCTGGACTCGGGGATGTTGGTGAACATCCACTCTTCCAGTACGAAGGCCGAGTCGGCGGTACTGGTGACGCCCGAGAAGGTTCGTTCCCTGCGCTTTTGGTTTTTTGGCGCTGGACTCAAATCCGGGGCTCATGCACCCGTGTTAAGCACACACTGTACCATGGTGCTACGCCCCAGCTTGAAAAGCTACAATTTTGCTTTAAAATTTTAAACAGTCATGGTGCTGCATGGCTATAATTCCAGCACTTGGGAGGCTGAGGCAGGAGGATTGCCACAAGTTGGAGCCCAACATAGGCTACATCGTGAGTTTAAGGGCAGCCTGGACTATGTAGTGAGGCCTTGTCTCAGACACCAAAAAAATTGTTTTAAGCTTTAAAAATTTTTTTGTTTTATCTCTCTCATCACTTTGGTTAACTGATTTGATCTTAAATACTCTCCATTATAAGTTGTTTTTTTAAAACATAAATTGTCAGCTGTTTGGTAGAGATGTCTGTTACTTGGAGAATTATAGCTTCAACATGAAAGCGACAAACATTTAGAATTTCTCTAGGTTTCTTTTCTTTAATCCTGAAATAAAAGTTATCAGAAAAAGAAATACAGATGCAAAATTCTCAGCATCCTTTTGTTTTCTACTACAGATTTGTTAGTGCCAGATAATTAAAAGATCTTAGATAAAGAAAAATTCTTAGCACACCTCAGTCAAAACATTCACTTGAAAACCAGGCATGGTGGTGCTCATCTGTAAACTCTGCACTCAGGAGGGAGGCTGAGGCAGGAGGATTGTTGTCAGTTCGAGGCCAGCCTGAAGTACATTGTGAGACCCTGTCTCCCCGACCCCCCGAAAAAAGAATATTCATGTGAGTCAAGAATATGACTGAGACTACCAAGCAGTCACAGTACATGTCCAGGTCGTCTAGGTTCTCTTGAGATTGAAGCAGCTTTTTCTTAGGGAAGGGCTCTAAAGGGAAAAAAAGGCTTCTTTTCTTTAATTGAGCCTGTAAAGTTTCTGTATTCTTCAGAAACCCTTGTGAGCACAAGGGACAAAATCTGATAAGATTCTAGGGAGTCAATGTCAGGGCCCTTCTCTGCCAGTAACAGGATCTGGGTTTGGTTTTAGTTTAGTTTTGTTTTGCCATGGGTGGGCTCAAATGTAGAGCCCACCCATGGCAATGAGTTCTCTGCCCTGGGCCCCTGACCAGCCCTGGAATCTGCTCTACATGACTTGTAAGATGATTTGTCCTATTTACATGTGTTTTTTAAGCTCTTTTTATAAAATAATTACACCTGGTGCATAAAGGATATATGATACACATTATTAACAACAAAAATGAACATAAATGGGAAGAAATGTAATTTAATATCTTTATAGAAGAAGCAGCTGTGACATGATTGGCTGTGAAGTACAGTTTGGGGCTATTATTTAACAGAACTGGGGATCAGACGCAGGGCCTTGTGCACGGTAGGCAAGCACTGTATTAGACACTGAGCTACACCTGCAGCCTTAAACATTTTTTAAGAAATGTACCTGATATTTTTTTAAACTTAAATTTTCCTCAAAAAGTGGCTAATGGCTCAGATCTCGTGGATTTGACTTTCGTTTATTCTAGTGTACTTCTCTTTTTGCATTTCATAATCTAGAATTGAATATTTTAGATTTTAAAAATAGACCAATTCACAGAATTTTGTTTTATTTTATTATTTTTTTTAAGGCTGAATCATGTCAGGGAGATTTGAGTACATTGGCCAGTGTGGTTACGTCACTAGCAAACCTTGGAAAGACAAAAGAGCTTTCTCCAGATAGTAACGGCACGTCAGTGATGGAGAGTTTACACAATGGGGACGTGTCTTTGGGTGAATTTCATCAAGAAATGCAGACCAGTGGTGACGTTTCAAGGTGAGGTCTACTTTGCTATGTATGTATCCTTTAGTATGTGTATTGAAATACTTTTGTGTTAAATGCTATTTATAGAAGTTTCAGGAAACAAATATTTTTATTAGATGTCTTTAAAAAATAAGGCATAGTAAGCTTTAAGTGAGAAGCCATGTGTGGTACAAAATACTGTATCCAACAGGTTACATTTTAAATAGCAAGGACAGTAAGTGAATATTATAAAATCAGAAATATTATTTTAAAAGTTAGGAATTTTCTCCCTCTTCCATGATAATTTGAGTGTGACATTTCAGATATTTTAGTTTCCAAATTTTATCTTATGTATGTAGAATAAAGCATTTTCTTGCTAGACAGTCATGTTGATATGCTCCACACTAATTTCTAGTAATAAAAATAAGTATAAAAGAGCTAGTTGAATTAACGGTAATTTTAAGTTACTCTTGAAAAATTACTACTGGAGTGCTGTTTTTCAATTTGTCAATATTTTAAAGACATTAACCACTTACCAGTCCAATTATTTAAATACAGGATGACCAAAAATTGCAATTTAAAAAAATTTTTATAAGATAATATAACAGGAAATATAAAAACAATTTTATCAGGGCCGGAGATTTAGCTCAGCGGTTCCACCGCCTGCCTCACAAGCGGAAGGACCCAAGTTTGATCCCCGGTACCAATAAAAACAAAAAAAACCCAAAAAAACCCCCCAATTTTATCAGATTTATTGAGTACAAGAATTGACTGGTAGAAATGGCACCTGCCGGAGTGATACTCGGGATAGTGGGCACTCCCCAAGAGAGGCTCTGGGTAAACTGTTAAGTGGTTAAGTAAATTTCTTCAGACTTTTCTCACACTCATTTTTATTTAAAATATTAAGTATTGCCCTGAGGGTGTAACTCAGTGATGGGACACTTGCATAGCAGGCAGGATGTCCTGGGTTGGATCTGTAGCACCACAAAAAAACCAAAGAATTGAATAGGTTGCATTTAAGAGCTACAGTAAGTACTTTGTTGAATATGAGATTTTATGGAATTCTAGAAGACAGATACCATTGAAAAATATGCAGAGCTATTTTGAAGTTATTTATTAATACTAATTAATTATCATCCTAATCTTAAATTCTTAGTAGCTTACATTTAGCTGTGTAACCAAGGGCTTAAAAATACTATCTGAATGTTTAAATAAAATGAAGACTCAACTTTGTGCAGTGTTCGACACAGTCGTGAACATAAGTTCTTACTCTTACCCTTTCCAAGTAACTGTATGTAAAATATGTATGTACATATGTCTGTGTGTAAAATAAACCATGAGGATTTTTCTTTCTCTTAATTTTATAGGATTTTTGTTTTGTTTTGGGTTTTGCTTTTTGAGACCAGGTCTTGCTATGTCGTGGCAGTCATCCCGCCTCAGCCTCTCCAGTGCTGGGACTATAGATATGCACCACCATGGCTGGCAAGATCTTTTTAAAGTGCTTTAATTCTTTGGTAATGTGAAGTTTAATTTGTTGATTTTGGAGAGACTCATAGAAGTTATTGAAATAGTGCTCAATGATAACACAAAGTTCTGTCCTCTTTTTTTTTGTACTGGGGATCGAACTCGGGACCTTGTGCTTGCAAGGCAGGTGGTGGCACCACTGAGCTAAATCCTCGGGCCCAGGGTTCTGTCTTCTAAAGAGTTGTGTGTGGGTAGGCTTTTTGTTTGTTTTGTGGTGCTGAGGATTAAACCCACAGGGCCTTGCCCATGCTGGTTAAGCATTCTACAACTGAGCTATATCCTCAGCCCTATTTTCTAAATAATTTTTTAGCTTTAAATTTTAATTTTGGCGTTTTATATAGAATTTCCATTGTACTGCTTGAGATTGGCTGCACTCAGCTTCTGGTGTCTTCTTGTAGGGCATTTGACACCCTTGCCAAAGCGCTGGACCCTGGAGAGAGCAGCACCTGTCAGAGCTCAGGGGAGGGCCCGGAAGGAGGCAGACACCTGGCCGCAGGAGAGTCCAGCATGAGTTACATCGAGAAGGAGGGGCCGCTTCTCAGCGAGTCACATGTAGCTTTCAGGGTATCTCTATATATTTCTCAAACTTTTATGTAACGTTATTTGATTTTAATCTGCCTTTCAAAAATCAGAGTCCCATCTTTTGTGTTACTCAAGTCAGAAATGTCCCTCGTAGATCAGAACCGGGACGGACACCCACACATCTGGCTGTAATGTGGTGGCCGCCTAAACATCGGGCTTGCCAGTTCATCGTGACAGCAGTGTGTGGCCCAAGTCTGCACAGTGGGCGTTATAGCCGCTGCACGGCTGCTTCCCTTAAAGCCTTGGCTTTGCTGCAGTGTGGAGCGCACTGCGTTTGTTCAGTGCCTAGCTGCTGCTGCTGCCGTACTGCACATCAGAGTCTAAGGCACAGAGGTTCTGCTTTACCATAGTAACCACAGAGAATCCCATGCGTTATATACCATCCTAATTAGCTTTCTGCATTGTCACAATAAAGTACAAATTAGTACATTTCAGCGTTTAGTTTTGGTTTTCTTTTGGTACCAGGAATCGAACTCCAGACCTTTTGCTTGCGAGGCAGGTGGCGGCACCACTGAGCTAAATCCCTGACCCTTCAACATTTAGTTTTTAGCTTTTTTTTACTTCTTTACCATTTTGAAGGAGGTACGTTTTTAATTTTTTTCCCCTAAATACACTTTTTAATGGGAACATTATTAAAAAAAGATCACCTGCTTTTTGGCTTTTTGAGACAGGCTCTTCCTCTGTGGTTCAAGCTGGCCTTGAACTCACTGTGTAGCCCAAGCTGGCCTCAACTCAGGGTGATCCTCATGCCTCAGCCTCCCGAGTGCTGGGATCACTAGTGTGTGTGCACCACCACACACGGCTTAAAAAGATCAATTTACGCCTGCCATGCCAAGCGCAAGGTCCCAAGTTCCATCTCCGGTACCAAAACAAACAAACAAAAAGATCAATTTATAGGCCGGGGATTTAGCTCAGCAGTGCCACCACTTGCCTCACAAATGCAAGGTGCCAAGTTTGATCCCCGATACCAAAAAAAAAAAAGATCACTTTATAGTATTGGATTCAGATCCTACTTTTTGACCTCCTTCACTTTCCTCATGCTGTGTCTTTGCTCTGCCAATTGTGGGTACTGTTACCAAGCAGTGTGCAAAGTGATAGGATGTATGTATGTGATTTCACTTAGCAAAACGTAGCTGTCCTGGAACATCTAAAGGTCATTCTTTGTAAATTTACTATAGCGTATAAGTTCCCAAAGATTTCTTGGGAAGAAAATGCAGTTACGAAGTTTGTGTATGTATGTCAACATATACATATACATATACATGTATATATGTATACATATTGCCAGTTGCAGTAATGAACATAAAACAGCTGTAACCTTGGCCAGGCATGTGGTGGCACACACCTGTGATCCCAGCATTCTCTGGGAGGCTGAGGCAAAGGATCATAATTTCAAGCTCAGCTGGGGCAACTCAGCCACTTAATGAGACCCTGTCTCAAAATAGAAAATGAATAAAGGCCTTGGGATGTAGCTCAGTGCAAAAGCCTGGGTTCAGTCCTCAGTACTGATAGGTAGGCAGGCAGGTAGACTGATCATTGACCAGGCTGTATATAATAATATTTATATTTATAAAAGTCAACTTGATAGAATAGGCATTAACAAAAGTCATCATGGGTTAAATAATAATTGCTGTAGTTTGATATAGTTGATTCAACTTATCAGTGAAATCAAATTTGATGTGAAACTTTAAAGATAACTTACATAGGAAAATTAGAACTGTTTTATCTGGGATTGGGAATATATAATTCAGTAGAGCAGTTGCCTAGCATTTGCAAGGCCTTGGTGTTTGATCCCCAACACTGCAAAAAAAAAAAAAGAAAGAAAGAAATTATCTGCTCTGTACAGGAAAAGTTTTTATGAGTGGTATGAAAAAATGAGAATATGGGCTGGGGATTTAGCTCAGTGGTTTCGCCGCCTGCTACGCAAGCGCAAGGACCTGAGTTCAATCCCCGGTACCAGAAAAAACAAAACAAAACAAAAAAAAGAAAAAATGAGAATAATCAGTGTCATCTCTAAAAATTATGGTAGGATCTATAGACAGGGATGTAGCAGGGCAAAAGAATCTTTTTCCCATTGTTCTTTTCTTCTCCAAAGGAAAAGTATTCTTTTGTTAGTTTTATTTTCTGTGAAGAAAGGTAAAATGAGACAAGTGTATGAAGGACAAAGAAAAAGGCCAGAGGCCATCTTTAGGAAAAAGTTGGTTTTTTTATCTTTGATGTTGTTCCTCAAAATTTTGATTCCTCAAAATAAGTGCTTTTAACAGATGAATTAGGCAAATTGGAGCTTCTCTTTCTTTCTGGAATTGACTTTCCCCATTCCTTCTGTCACTTCTTATACTCTAGGTATCCTGAGAGCACCGTGAAGTGTTTCTCTGAACAGGACCACTTCTTTGATCTTGCTTACAGTCCTGGAGTTAGAAGGTTGATTCTCAGCGAGTCCCCTGCTTAGTTCCTGGTCCCGGGAGTCTCATGGCTGTTTCTGTCCTTGCAGTTCTCTGATCACTAGTTCCAGGCCTGACATCTGCAGTCACATAGCTCAGTCCGTCCACTTTTCATCGCCGAGCTGAATAGCGTTGCTGTTCTCTGGCATCTTTATGTGTGGCGCAGGCTGCAGCATATTTTCACATACGGTTCTTCACTTGAGCCTTAATGCATTCTCTTGGGGAGGTTAAAATTTTTATTCTCATTTGGTAGGTAAAGAGATTTTCAGTGTCTTGTTCAAAATTACTGTAGAAATAATCTAACAATGAAGCTGTAATTGTGAAGAATGTAGAACAATATTAATATTTAATGTTTTTATTAAAAGTTTTACTGTTTCTCTTGCTTTGTACAATGCCTTATAAGTATAATCAAGGTAGGTAGTATTTCCATTTTAGAAATAAGTATGTGAGACAGAAGTGAGGTGATTTCCAGTACTCTTCTTTGTATGTTTATTATCTCATTAGAATCCTAGTCCTCTTATATACCTGCATTTGAAACCTGAGAGTCCTCTTCATTCTTTCATTCTCTCCACAACTCACTCCCCTCCTTTCCTTCTTAATTTTTTTTGGAGACAGGGTCTCACTTTGTAGTTTGGACTGGCCTTGAGCTCACTGTGTAAGCTAGGCTGGCCTTGATGGCTGCTGCAGTCCGCCTGCCTCTGCCTGTGGAGTGCTGGGATTATAGGCGTGCACCACCACGCCCAGCCTCCCTTCCTTTCATAGCTGAACTTCAGTCATTCTGTTATTTGAATTTCTCCATTTTGGTCTATTTCCATCACCATGTTTTAAGCCTCTTAAAATTTGTAACTTGCACTGTTAAAATAATATCTTTGCTTGTAGTCCATCCTCTCCATCTTTTCCTGTGCACTAGTACCAGGATTGATACTTGTTAAAAATCACTCTAAAAATCACAGTGGTCATTTGGCCATTGTGTTTGCCTAGCATGTGCAAGCCCTTGGGTTTAATTGCCAGCACTGCTAAACATTTTTTTAGATAAATAATAAAAGCCTTCCTATTGCCCATGTGAGATTGTGGTCTTCCTGCCACAGTCTCCTGAGTGGTAGGATTACAAGTGTAAGCCACCACACCTGGCCTCTTAGCCATGTCCACAGCTGGTTCCATTTTCATTCTCTTCCTCCATTGAGATAGCAGTACATGTATTTCTCTGTAAATGGTTGTGGAGCAAATGATTGTTTTTTAAGCAAATGATTTGTGTCCAGACAAATAATAAAAAGTTAGAAGTACTAGAACCCAGACATCCTGACTCAAGTCAAATGATTTTCCTAAAGCTGTATTGTACAGGCTTTAGCAGAATTCTATGCAGGAATCGCCAGAAAGGTAATTGCAAAGGCAAGTAATAAAAAAGGCAAGCTCGAAAATAGGTGATCAGCCTTAGGTCTTATCAGTACTCTTTTTTAAAAAATTCAATTTATTAAATGTTTTTATAATTTGAAAAATGTGCAGCATTCAGTTTATAAGCCAGATGATCCATAGGCATTCTTGATAGCTTTAACATAATCTTTGTAGTAGAAACTCACCTTCCATATATGTACAAAGAAAGAAAAATATGTTTTTGCAATTAAAAGACTTGTTATTTTTTTCAGCCAGATTAACGTTCTGATTTATAATACTAGAGGTTTATAAAGTATTTGAAATAATAAATTATGAAACATTTCCTCCTTGAAAATATAACATGATAAAACAGTTTCTATAGTGATCTCACTTTTATAATTAAAGCAGTGGAAGGTTTTCATTGAACACTACTCTTGTGTAAATTAAGGCAGTGTTTTCAAGTTTTACATACAGTATTGCAAGTATTTTGTGGTATAGCCAGCTTTAGAGGGTTTTTTTTTTTCTTCTGAGACAGGGTCTTGCTACTGAGTTAAGACTGGCCTTGAAGTCACTGTGTGACCCAGGCTGGCCTTGAATTTGGAACCTTCCTGCCTCAGCCTCCCAAGTGCTGAGATCACAGGTGTGCACCACCACACCCAGCAGCAGAGGGCAGTCTTTATTGTTCTTTTTCATTTATTCTTCCCCCATTAAACTAGTCTTTTTGGTGGTTCTCCTAAATTTTTAGGCTTTTTTTCCCTGTTCACCCAGGGCAATTCTGAGACAGTATGATAGTTTAGATTTTTTACATACATACTCATGTAGAAACAGTTGTATCCTAAGATTATGCGTAAGATGTTTAGTGATTGCTTTAATGATTGGTTGATTGCCTTAAGAACTGTGTTAGTTCTATTTATTTTACTGCTCCAGTAAACATTTCCAGTAAATATAAAAGTTTTTCTTATTACATGGGATTTTAACCCATAATTGCCCTGTTGTTTTACTATGTGGCACCATTAATAAATAGGAAAAACATTTGTGGCTAACAATGAACAAAGGCAGTTGTAATTTTTGTGTTCTACTTAACATTTCTAGAGAACTTGTCATTTTGATGAAAAATTTGCTCTGTTTGGTGTCATAGAACCTATATGTACATTCCCAAGATAACCCTTCACCTGCCCCACCCCAGAGGTAATGCTGTTATCGGTGTGTAGTATGTTTCCTGCTGAACTTCCTGTTCACATGTCTGCCTTTGCACGAGAACATACCCTCGAGCACCCCTGAGGTGTTCCGCATAGATGATTCTTTCCTGGCGATGACAACTTGTATCGATGCCAGTGTTCACCTCCATTCTGTTTGAGGCAGAGCTAAGTGGGCACTTGATGTGTGCTCTTCGTGTGCACAAGTGTGTTTCTGGAGTAGAGGTGTAGAAGTGGTATTACGGGTTTAGGGTCCCTTATCTGAAATGCTTGGGACTGGAAGTGTTTGTGCTTTTAGTTTTTTCAGATTTTGGAATATTCACAGAGACTCTACTGGTTGAACATCTCAAATCTGAAAATCTGAAATGCTCCAAGACATGAAACATTTTCGTTGTTGGTGCCCAAAGTGTTTCAGGTTTTAGTTTTTTGAAATAGGGACGCTCATCCTGAAGTATGGCGCAGGATGTGCCTGGTGTCCAGGGCTGGAAAGTGACTCAGGTGCCCTCCAGCTGAGCACTTGGGGTAGAGGTGCGTGTTTCCATATCCTCACTGCACTGGATAGATACTATGGATCATTTCCACAATTTCATAATAGAAAAAATGTTCCTTACACATTTCATTTATGGCAGTAAAAATTGTGGTTAACAAGACTTTCAGAAATGGTTTCAGAAATCTCTTGATGTAGGTTATTTATTTGCAACAACAGCCAGACACTTAAAATCACCACAGTAAGGTCAGCAGCACAAGCCCATGGGTGGCTGTGTGCAGACATATTTTTTATTAGCTGTAGAATAATTTTTAAATTACTTTTTATTCAGTACCAGTTTTTTAAATAGGGAGATTTTGCACAGACCATATTCTAAAAAATCGAAGAAGTGGTTGGGCTTACCCCAAATTCCCATGTGTTCGTTGTGCTGCGTTCGAGTCATAGATGTGCCCTTTATCTGGAGTTGTGCCCTTGGCAGTTGGCATGGGTGAGCCTGCTTCATTCAGTACTCAGCCCTGCAAGCATTCGGATTCATAAGCCCTGTTACCTCAGTGAATGGAGTTTCAGCTACACAATTGCTCCTTACACTGAATTTGTTGTGCACCATTGTTAAGAAGGAAAGACACATAGGTAAGGTAGTGAGTAACATTTTTTTTTTTTTGGTACCAGGGATCGAACTCGGGACCTTTTGCTTTCTAGACAGGTGGCAGGTGGCAGGCGGCAGGCCGCGGCACCACTGAGCTAAATCCCTCTCCCGGGAATAACTTTTAAAAATAAACCAGAATATCATGGTTGATGTTCATTGAACTACCGCTTCTCTGAATATTGTTGTTAGAAACTGATCTACTCATTTATTCTAAGCCCAACTAGCTGTAAAATCCAGATCCTTGGATTATTTCAAGATTAGCCTCTTTTTGTGAATGTGCTAGACTCATTTGATGTGTTGTGTTTACATTCAACTTTTTCAAAGAATTGCTAATTTCGAGCATGAAGTCACAAGATGATTTACGGCAATCCCTGTTCACACTAGCTCACCATGCCTTCTCCTACGCCCGAGTACCTGAATGTGCACTACATTGGGGAGTCTGCCTCCAGGCTGCTGTTCTTATCAATGCACTGGGCACTTTCCATCCCTTCTTTCCACGCGCTAGGGTGAGTGTTTCTAAGTCCTTGAATGTAAATGTGACTCTGTAGCAAATGTACATTAAGCAAGAATTTTTCATTAAAGGAGAAAAAAACTATAGCATTGTAATGTTTAGTTGTATTATTTATATGACAAATCACGGCAGCTGAGTACTATTTTCTGCATATTATTTCAGTGTTTGGCCTGGTCTGTAGTGTGGATGGACTCTAAGTGCTTGGGTAGCTGTGGCTAGCGTTGGGAACAGCTGTCTTGGTGCAGGCGGAGAGGCTGGAGGCGTGTCGGGTTATCTTCTCCCTCCCACTACCACCCTTTGGGCTCCCATCCCAGGCATGCTACTATAGTTCTGAAATTTGTTTACAGCAGTTATGTTTAAAAATAGAATTGTTTTCCATTCATGAGGTTACCTCTGTCAAAAAAGATGGAAAATGTAAAACCTTTGCTGGGCATGAAGGTGGCACAGGCCTGTAATCCCAGCACTCGGAAGGCTGAGGCAGGAGGATTGTTGTGAGTTCAAGACCAGCCTGGGCTACAGAGTGAGGCTCTCTCTCAACCACCCTCTCAATACACACACACAAAGAAGAAAGAAAATTGTAAAACCCTCACAGTACCACTATAATGATTTAGAGATTCAGTCTTACCACTGAAGAACAATCTGTATTCGGTTCTAGAGTAATCAGATGAAATGGAAAATGCTGTATTATAAGGAATCCAAGTTTTATCAAAGTTTGTCCAACATATTTAGATTACTTTAAAATAACTAGTATAGTGGTGGCTAACCTGTGGTGCATGTGTTGTGTTTTTCTTTTAAGACAAAAGATGTTAATCCATGAGTTGTTTTTCTCCAAACTAAAACCTCACTATTCAGGTTTAACTGCAGTGTTGGCACTTGGAATAAATAAGTGGGTTTGTGTTGCAGTTTGGCACTGTCTCTTAAAATGTTCACCATCACTGAACTAGTATTTGAGAAAGTGAGGCAGTGGAAAAAGTTAAGCCCAAAATTTATTCTATTCCCAGGCCCCTACTCATGACTGATTTTATAAATAATTCACTTTCATAACCTATATGTCAATTTTCCTATTTATCAAATGAAAAAAATCACTGTCCATCCCTGTCTTCAGAATATTTTGAATATAAATAACATCGGAATCCTGAAGCTAAAAGATATTTAATATTATGATGTGCTCACCACTCAGTGTTAGGTATTTCCCACATTAAATCTCACACTTAAATGTACAGTTACATAGACCACAAGTCTGATTTAGAGTGGTTAACCTTTTAGTCCTTTTTCTCAAAATAACATTCGACTTTCAAAATTTCTCCAGTTTTCTTTTTTGGGGGAGGTTTGTTTTTGTCTTTGGTTTTGTTTTTGAGACAGGCTCTTGCTATGTAGTTCAGGCTGGTCTTGAATTCACTGTGCAGCCCAAACTGGCCTCGAACTCACAGTGATCCTCCTGCCTCAGCCTTCTAAGTGCTGGGATTACAGGTGTGCACCACCACGCCCAGCTTCTTTAGAAACAATCACAGTGTAAAATTGTACATGTCAGCATTTTATTACTTTAGAAGCATTACGTATAGTTCACTGTTTGTCTAGCAGTATACCTGGGTCAAAGAAGCTGGTGACATTTTTCATAATAGATTATAGATTATTACAGTAAAACAACAAAAGAAAGGGATTCGGGGTGAAATTTAAACTTGTTGAGTTGAAACAGTCATAATACCATGATTTCAATACTTCTGTTGAGTATGATTATCCCGAGTAAATATTCCGCATGTTGAGGAAACCAAACATAATGCCTGTGATTTCTGGCTGTCGCACAGCTGTTTTCCCTGAGATCTCCGTTGGAAGTCAGTTTCAGTGCAACAGCCGTGGGAATCTTTGTAATTAGACTACCCGTTGCACTAGCAATTAAAGCCATGAACTGCCACCTGAACTTTTATTTCTTATCCCTGAGTAGATCATCTGTAGGGTGTGGGAGTATAAAGCACTTGCCTGGCAGGTGCAAGAGCCTGGGTTCCATTCCAGCAACAGTAACTACCACGAAAATCCAAATGCTAACAAGAAAAAACTGAGAGCACACATGCCCTTAGCCTCTAGCATCTTATTTTCCACATAGTATAAGGGTTCCTAGGTTGAAATTTTGGCTTTATTCATCTGCTCACTGGGTCTTTGGATCAGTTACTTAAGTGAGGCTGAGTTCCCACATCTCTCCATTAGAAGCAGAAACCCTTGCGTCTGAACATGGATTTAACCCTGTGCCTGGTACGGAGTGAATAAGTGATTGTCATTGTCCTTCATGTTACTTCATCCTCTTATTAGCCTTCTTTTAAAAAAGACATTTTTCTCTCCTAATGTATTGAAGTTTTAAAAAAAACATTGAAACAGCATAGCTACTTTCACATAGTCTGAGGGTTTTGGTTTTTTGGGGGTGTTTTTTTTGAGCAAATGTGTAGACAGGTTGCCATGTGTACTAATAGTGTCTTAGCATTTCCTCCGGAAGCAAAACACTGCAATCTGGCAGTTTATGGCTTGGGCGCTGCTCCGATTTCCTCGCCCTGGTGACACTTAGACATCTCTCATCCCCACACTGATGCTCCTTACTGTGACTCTGGGTTTTCTGTTGTTTTTCCTTTCCTGTGTTTGCTGGTTCATGAGCTTGGCTAGCTGTTTCCTCTTTAAAGTATCAGAAACAGAAGTTAAGATGAAAACTGCTTTGCTTTTATCTTTCTCTCATATTTAAAATGATACTGCAGGGTAGAGCTACAAAGTAAAACCTCACTTTCCAGAGGTAACTGACCTCATGTTAGCAGTTTGGTAGTCTATTAGATTTTTTCCATGCTGTACTTATTAAACCATTAAAACACATATCTATGCATTCTTTTCTTTGTCTTGCTTTTTATATTTTTATACACGTGTTAGGGACTTCTTTCTCTATCGGCAGATAATTTATACTAGGTTTTTGGGGGGTTTTGTTTGTTTGTGTTTTTGGAGACAGGTCTCAGTAAGTTGCCCAGGCTGGTCTTGAACCGTGATTCTCCTGCCTCCATGTATGAGAGCGCTGAGATTACAAGCTTGTGACACTGTGCCCTGCCCTATCAAATTTTTCTTTTTTTTAATCATATTTTTCTTAATGGCTACCCACTATTCCATCTTACGAATTTATTATAATTTATTGACATGCCTTAGCAGTAGACGTTTGGATTGTTGCCAATTTTGTTCTTATGTCCAAGGCTACAATGCACATTTTTGGCTACTTATATCATTTCTATAAAATTGGTTTCTTTTTTTTTTTTTTAAATACAAAATGCCTCATGAATTTGCGTGTCATCCTTGCGCAGGGGCCGTGCTAATCTTCTCTGTAAAGTTGGTTTCTGACAAGTGGAATCGCCAGGCCCAGCCTGGTTCCATTTTTGCTTTTGCTAGGTACTGCCTAACTGTCCTCTGAAAATGCGTGGGGCCGGGTTGTGTCACCTAAGGAAGTGTGTGCTTATTTCCTCACACCCTCCTTAACTGGATTTTATCCAGGTTTTCTGATAAATAAAAACAGTATCTTGTTATTTTTATTTCCTTTGATTTTATTTACCTGAGTTTGAATTTTTAACCATTTTCTATATGAATATTTTAAAATACTGATTTTCTTTGTACTCAAATTTTACTTTCAAGTTTAATACTTGGTTTCTTGGTTTCTTGTGTCAAGTAACACTTCTCAAATGAAAAAGAGGTCAGCTTGAAGTTAAAATCTCACCTGAATAATTCTTGTGAGAAGAGTTACTTTGTCACTTTTTAAATTGGGAATGTTATGTTAGCCTTTGTATGAAGTACATCCTATTCTTTAATAAAATGTAATATCATAAAAGTTAGGATTCTCACTGAATGATTTCTGTTAAACACACTGATTTCCATAATTTTGAAGGTATATTAAGCAGAAAGAAATTGCCGACTGTGGTGGTGCACATCTGTAATTCCAGAACACTGGGAAGCTGATGCAGAAAGATTGCAAGTTTGAGCTTAGCCTGTGCAATTTAGTGACTTAGCTGAATTTTGAGACCCTATCTGAAAATTATAAAACAAATTTACAGAAAGGATTGGGAGTGTAGTTCAGTGTGGAGGCCCTGGGTTCATTCCCCAGTGCTGGGAGGGGGGAAAGAAAACTTAAGTACCATTCATGGGGATGTGCGTATCAGGGTGTTCTGAACGGTTTAAATCTCTTTTGAGAAAAATCTGACTTCGTTATCTAAATAAGTGTGGGTCTGGCTTCAGACGAGTTGTTACAAGACCGGTGCCCACAGCTCTTTTGTCCTCTGAGCTCCCTTCTACCTGCCCTGCGTCCCCAAGGTCAGAAGGCATTTGCTGAGCTCCTCATCTGTGCCGAGTACTGCGCTGGTCCCTGAGATAGAGATGTGTGAGGGAGGCTTTGCTTTCAGCAAGCATTTTGTCTCTGTGGGAAGCAGGTCCAAGACAGTAAATCAGGGTGTTGTGTAATAGACACAAAATACAAGTGTCTAGGCGGCACCAAAAGGGCAGCGGAAAGAGAAATGTGAGAGAAGCTGAGCTTATTTTAGGAGGTGGGTAGGTTTATTACTTAGGAAAACCACGCAGGGAAAGGGTATTCTGAGGTAGTGGGGAAGGATTTAATAATGCTCAGAATGTTATATCGCACACCTAATACACGCACATTCTCACTTCAGCAAGTTTGCCATATTCTTCCTTGTTGAGTGCTACCCACCTCGATCTTTTTTTTTTGAATTCCCTGCTATCTTTCTTTACTCAGATGCCTCAGATGTCATTGCCTCAGTGGCCCCTCCTCGCTCCAGAAACGGCCATCTCTAACCACCCATGTGACCCTCCCCATTTTCTTACTGATCTCCTACTTTATAGCAATGTAGAATTGTTATTACCTGGAATTTATGTGTGATCCTGTGTATACATTTGTTAAGCTCTTCTTTTTCTTGAAGCAGACTTAGTCCGTCTTACTCACTGCTATTTCCCCAGTGACTTGGAGAGTGCCTATCACAAGGCATGCCATGTTCATGTAATTTTTATCAATAAGTATTTTTTATTTAAATTGATTCAGAGTAATTGTACATACTTATAGGATGCATACAATGGGCAATGATCAGATGAGGCTAATTGGCCTATCTCTGGCCTGTGATACATAAGATTTCTTTGTCTTGGCATCATTCAGAACCCTTTCTATTAGCTACTGTGAAGTAATGATTGTCCACTGTACTATCCTGCTCTGCTGCAGCACATGAGAAGTTCCTCCTATCCAGCTGCCCCCTGGTACCCATTAAACAGCCTCCACTGCCCCACAACATTCTGAAGCTCTGGTAACTGCTCTTCTGCCCTCTGCTTCTCTAAGGTCCACTTTTTGCAGCCAGGTGTGGTTGTGTATGCCTGTAATCTCAGCACTCAGGAGACTGAGGCAGGAGGATTGCCATAATTTCAAGGCCAGCTTGGGCTCCATAGCGAGTTCAAGGCCAGCCCGAACTACATAGTGAGACCTTGTCTCAAAAAAACAAAAGTTCCACTTTTTGGCTTCCACATGAGTGAAGACATATGCCTCTCAGTAATGTTAAGCAAGATGAAGGATATATAGTGTCTGTGTTTTATTCAGATATACAGCCTGAGAGTTGGGAAGCTTATTTTTCTGTTCTCTTATTCTGCTGAATATTTATTATTCAGAAATTCAGGAAAGAGCTTTTGACCTTTCTTATCTCTTGTTAATTATAGTAAAATTGTCTGAAATATAGAACGAACCATTTGTCCCATTATATTGATTGCTTACCTACTGCCAAATAATTCTAATAGTTCCTTTTCAAAAAAATATTTACTTGTCTTTGGAGCAAAAGAAAGTTATGAAAAGTTTTTTAAATGCATGCTTTTGCTTTTTTAAAATCTTTATTTGAACTATCTCCATGAACTGGGAAATAAAAGCCTCAACTTTTTTAGTTTAAAATATTACTTCCGATTATTCTTGTAAACTAGATGGTTAATAATGAGCTAGCTAGTATTTAAATCTCTAAGCGCTCTTCATCAGTTCATGTCAGCTATACCAAACACAGAATTGGTGGAGTCCATGCCCATTTTGTTTTTGTAAAGTACCTTTAGTTCAGTAATACTTTAAAGTACATAGATCAGTTATAAAGTTTATTCCATTAACTCCTCATTTATGCTTTTGTGTTTGTTTTTAATAGACAGGAAAACAGCATATCACTGGTGAAAGCGTACTGGAATGAACTCTTTACTCTTGGCCTTGCACAGTGCTGGCAAGTGATGAATGTAGCGACCATATTAGCAACCTTTGTCAATTGTCTCCACGGCAGCCTTCAACAAGGTAAAAAGTACCTTCTTAAACCATTTCCAAGATACAGGAAGCAGCAGCTTTATAAAATGTTCTGAGCAGTTACATGTCCTGATGATTGTATTGCTTTTATACCAATGGTCTTTTTTACTTTAGATAATTTTTACATTTTGATAAATCTGTAAATCACCGAAAAATATTTTTAAGTGAGTGCGCAGCTAGTCTACTTGAATTTGGCAGGCTTAGTTTCCTTTTGCTAAAACAGAACACCTGAGGCTGGGTTGGTGATAAAGAGGTTTCTTTTGGCTCGTGGCTCTGGAAGTAGGAGGGCCTGGTGCCGGGGCCTGCTCAGCCTCCTATTAGGGCCTGGTGGTGGCACAGTGCCTGCAGGAGAGCTGAGGATGCCAGGCTTGCTGTGTAACAGCTGTCCTCCTGAGAAGGTGAACCTAGTGTCACCAGCACACGAGTCCCTGTTGAAGGCCTCACCTACCATTGCCACCACGTTGGCAGCACGTTGGGGTTTCACTGTGAACTGTGGCAGGGACGAACCCTTTGCAGACCATGTCTTGGGCTGTGGCTGATGAGGTGCTTTGGTACAGGTACCTAAGAATCCAAGGCTAACTTACATAGAGGCGATCAAATATTTTAAAGGTGTTACTTCTCGCGACTTTTCAAGCTACTTTCTTTATTGTAGCCCTTTGCATCCTGAGACAGGCTACGTAGTCTCTTGGCTACACAGAGCCAAAGAGTCATGCAGCAGTCTTCACTCTTTTTCCTTTTCTGGATGCCCTGGTGATTACAGCTCTCAGTCATTTAAGGAGACAGGTGTTCACTGAGTTAGGAAACCTTACCTTTTCCTGCCTTTGGAGGTCAGGAATAATTGATATATTATGGACTACTTTTTAGTTCCTTCCTTAGCATATTCTGTTATTTGGGGTATTTTTTTTTTTTTCAGTTTCTTATTTGGAGACAGGATCTTGCTGAGTTGCCTAGGGTGGGTTTGAATTTACAGTCCTTCTGCCTCAGAAATCACCTTAAGTTTTCCCAGTAGAAGATCTAGCAGAGGGCAGCACCACATTCCGCTCTTATTTATGGACTTAAGAGCCCTGATTCATTTCTCATCTACTCACAAGTTGTTATATAGCCCAGTTTCAGGAAAGCTGTGGTTGACTAATCGTTAATAGTTGTATTTTCATATATCACACCACAATAAACTAGAATATGTCTTGCAAAACATTTTTTCTCAACTTTTCTTTGATCTTGACAGTGTTTTTGTGTTTTTTTTTGTTTTTGCTAAATACTTGTTTTGATTATAGTGGTATTGCTAGCTTTTAAAAGTGAAGATGTATTTCCAACCAGTATAAGTTTAAATAAAATCCTGTTACCAGACTTTGAGTCATTTGTACTTCAGTTGGCCAGTCTTTCAGATGGTTGTCTTACAGCTTATCTTCTCAAAGGCATATCTTGAAAGGAAACATTACCTTTAGAGTTTTCTATACCAACTTTTTGTTGAATGAACAATATCTAAAGATTATTAGTTACACCTATAATTGAAGAGATTCTAAATTTTAAACATTGATAGATTGGCTTTATTCAAAGTTGGAAATTAGTCAAAAGGAAATACATTGGATGAAAATAGTCATACATTTCAGATGAAAACTAGAAGCTTTTGTTTGTTTTTTAATTCAAGATAAAATGTCACCGGAAAGAAGGAAACTGTTGATGGAGCACATCTTCAAACTGCAGGAGTTTTGTAACAGCATGGTTAGGCTCTGCATTGATGGGCATGAGTATGCCTACCTGAAGGCAATAGTGCTCTTCAGCCCAGGTGTGTACATTTACTTCTTTTCTTTTTAATGGAGGCAAAGTTTCACGTTTATTAAAGGTAGGAACAAAGCAGAAGGGTGGGGGAGAAAGGGCTCTGCAGAGCAAATTTGGGCCAAGTGAAAAGGGAGGGAAAAAATGAAAGTAAAAAAGCACCCTGCAGTGTAGGGTAGGCTATCGTGTGTAAGGCCACAGTGCCTGGCCTTACACACATTTACTTCCTAATTAGAGTGCAGTGTTAAGTACACGGAGAAATTAGAACCCTCATATATTCCTCATAAGAATATTAAAATGGTGCATTTGAGCTGGGTGTGGTAGCGCCTGCCTGTAATCCTACCATTCAGGAGGCTGAGGCAGGAAAATCACAAGGAGTTCAAGGCCAGCCTGACCTACATAATGAGATCCGGTCCCTCAAAAACTGAAAGAACAACAACAAAGTGGTGCTTTTGCTTTGAAAAGAAGTTCAGCAGTTCTTCAAAATGTTAAATGTAGAGTTACCATGTGACTCAGCAGTTCCATTCCTGTCAGCCCAAGAGAAATGAAAGAATATATCTACACAAAAGAATTCATGTTCAGGGCAGCATAATTCACAACAGCCAAAATGTGGAAACAATCCAAATGTTCATCAACCAGTGAATAAAGAAGCAGTGTAATGTGTACGCATGTGGAATATTACTCAGCTGTGGGCCATGCTGTAAAATGATGAACCTTGAAATCTTTGTGCCAAGTGAAAGGCATCGCCACAGAGGAGCTCATTTGATTCCATTTATATGAAGCTCGGCAGGGCAGGCTACCCAGAGATAGGCATGGGCGCGTGCTCGCTCGCTGGGGTCTGCAGAGAGGAAGAGATGGGAGTGAGGGGCGGAAGAGTTAACTTCTGGGGAGACAGGAATGTCCCGAAGTGAGCTTAGTGGTGGTGGTTGTACAACTCTGTAAATAGGCTGAGAATCATCAAGTTACATGCTTTTTGGATAAAGGATGTTAGACGTCTGTATGAAAAACTATCAAGAGTCGGTGAAATAACATTATAGGCTTGTATTTCCATTGTCACCTCACCTCGATATTTGAATGGTTAGCTGTGTTTCTGTGAGGCCTTACCAAGTGCCGGAACGGGAGAACGACAGCTGCACCGAAGAGTGAGGAGTTAAGCTCTCGGCACCTTATTGGAGCCCGTAACAAGTAGAAAGCCATTCTCATTTCCCTGCCAGTTTCTGGTTTTCACGTGCAGTAAAGTGACAGGAAGATCTCCACCACCAGGTTCCGAACTGATGCTTCTCTTAGGTTCTGTGCTTTCTCATTTAGATTGGGTTTCTGTCCCTGAAGAAACTGCCTCCCTCAGAGGTGCCAGTGAGACGTTCAGGCTCTTCCGTGCTGCTTCCTCTGATGGTCCCATGCGTTAATAACAGGCACCTCTGCTCTCCTTTTCTAAGCTTTTTGTGCTGTATCCCCTGCCTTTTAAGTTTTATTTTGAAACAGGATCTCAGCAGGCGTCCCAGGCTGGCCTTGCACTGGCAGCCCTGCCTCAGTCCCCCAGTGGCCCGGATTATAGGTGGTGTCCAGTGTCTCCACTTCATCACAAGCCATTTGTGCCCTCATTCTCCTCAGATGAAAATTGAAACTGCATTAGGCATAATTATTATAAACTTGTAATAATTCTATTTTTTTAGAATGTTATAGTGCCATTGAAATGCTTATATACATTATTTCATATTTTTGTGTTATTTTTTGAGAAGAGGTCATGATGTTCATGTTCAGTAGTTTCATGAGTATGTTTTTATTTAACTGTAGTAGGGTACTTTTCCTTAATAAGTTTGGTATACATTGTAATTTGCAAATATTTTGTACATTAAAAATGCTTCTATGGCTGGGCACAGTGGCAAACACCCATAATCCCAGCATTTGGGAGGATGAGGCAGGAGGATCTTAGTTCCAGGCCAATCTGAATTACATAGGGAGACTGTCTCAAAAAAAAAAAATCAAAACAAATATTTCTATGAAGCTAGGCATGGGGCACATGCCTATAATCACAGCATCCTATGAGTTTGAGGCCAGCTTGAGCAGTTTAGTGAGACCCTGGCCCAAAAAAGGGCTGGGAATATAGGTCAACATGAGGGCCCTGGGTTCAATCCCCAGCACCAAAAAAAGAAGGAAGGAAGAAGGAAAGAGAGAGAGAAAGGGAAGGAAGGAAGAAGAAAGAGGGGAGAAAGGGAATGGTGTGCTCACCTATAATCTCAGCATTGGGAATCTGAGGCAGGAGGATCGCAGCTTCAAGCCCAGTGCACACAGTTCAGTGACTTCGTGAGACTGTCTCGAAATAAAGCTTTAAAAGCAGGCAGGGAGTCCAGCTTGATGCCGAGGGCTTGGGTTCAGTTCCCAGCACTGCCAGAAAATAAATATAGAAAATTAGCAAAATTACATCACTTTTGGCCCAGGGATTTAGCTCAGTGGCATTGCACCTGCCTCGCAAGGACAAGGTCCTGAGTTCAACCTCCGGTACTGCGCAAAAAAAAAAAAAAAAAATCCTCCACTTTTGGAATGGAGAGAAAACTATTTTGGTAATATCTAGAGGTCTTTTTCTTTTTCAGATTTCAAATGTGTATGAGATAAAATAATTTCAAGTTCATAAAGTACAGTGCTTGGTATATAGTAGGTAGCTCAATAAATATTTGTGGAGTAATCGAGGTACACATTTTATTTCCTTATTTTGAGATAGTGTCTTGCTGAATTGCCTAGGTTAGTCTCAAACTCAGGATTTTCCTGCCTCAGCCTTCCAGAATGCTGGGATTATAAGTAATGCCGCCACACCCATCTAAGAGCTCCTTTTGGGGTGTGTGTGTGTTGGTTTGGTTTGGTTTTGTTTTTTCCAGACAGAGTTTCACTTTGTAGTCCAGGCTGGCCTTGTACTTGCCATGTAGCCCAGGCCAGCCTCGAACTTGTGGCGATCCTCCTGCCTAGGAGCTGGCATTACAGGTGTGCGCATTATACCTGGCCCAGAGCTTCTTTTTTAACTGGACTGTTTATTCCCATGTATACTTTCAGTGTCTTATTAAATGAGCATTCAGAACGAGGGTGACAATATATTCTTTTATGTTTCAGATCATCCAGGCCTAGAAAATATGGAACAGATTGAAAAATTTCAGGAAAAGGCTTATGTCGAATTCCAAGATTACATAACTAGAACATATCCGGATGACACCTACAGGTATCTAGAAGTTAAATTTTTTTTTTTGGTACTGGGGATCGAACTCAGGATCTTGTGCTTTTGAGGCAGGTGGCAGCACCACTGAGCTAAATCCTCGGCTCTAGAAGTTAAATTTTATTCATTTAAATTCATTCAAAAAGTTTTGTGAGGGCTGGGGATTTAGCTCAGTGTTTCCACCGCCTGCCTGGTAAGCATAAGGACCCAAAGTTCGATCCCCGGTACCAAAAAAAATTTTTTTGTGAATCTAATCTTTCACCATTCTTAGGAGTTAAATGTTTTAGTGAAGCTTGTTTTAGTGATAGTTAGTGCTGTTGAAAACAGCGGTGTGGCTGAGGCTGTGACCCCGATAGAGTGCTTGCCTAGCATGTGCGAAGCCCTGGGTTGGTTGCCCACCGCCTCCAAATCCTGACAAAGAGTGTGGGGCTGGAGGTTTGGCTCTGCTGGACCAGGGTTAGCAGGCACGAGGCCAAGGAGTCGAATGAAGGGCTCTGTGATCTCAAGTGTCAGTTCAGGGCCTCTGGGAAAGAGAAAGGTAAATGGACCGAAAGGTTTTCTGAGAGGTAGCACGGTTGTGGTGGTTGTTCGGTTTCTTCACATTTTAAAAGTTATTTGTATTGAGGAATTGGCCCTGGAAAAAAAAAAGTTGCTTATGTTGTTATGCGAATGAATGCAGTGTTTCCAGATTCCCTCCTTTCGGACTATGCAGCCTTCATTGCAGGTGCTTGGGCTGATCTGAAACTGTCTTGAGCTTCTCTTTCCTGCTTATTTAAAGTCTTTATCCTTGGATAGCGGTTTTCAACTTAGAGTGAACTCTTGCATAAGCCATGGTTCTGGCTTTAAGGGCCTCACTGCCTGGCCTAGAAACTGGCAGGGCTCATCCCCCTCCTCACAGCGCATGGCGGGGAGACAGGGAGGAAGAGGTTTGCATAGTCACATAACACGGTGGCAGGTGAATCGGGATTTGAAGCCAGTGGTCTTGATTCCATGTTGTGCACTCTTCCTAACAGTAACTCTTGCCTGTTTTACCATTTTAGGTACTACTTTTATACCCAAAACCAAGGTATTTACTGAACGTGTGTGTCCTGATAGCATGAAACTTTGCTCTTCTTAGGGTCTGGAATGAGTCGGGAAGCAGGTCTTCAGTGTGTAAGCTGAGCCATGGTTTCTAACTCAGGCCCGGGAGGCAGCACAGCTTTGCAGCTGAGAGCAGGCCTTCCTGTCAGACAGCCTCAGGTGGAGAATCTGAAGTTTTGGTCTTAGCTTTTGAAAATTAGATCTGTATTTTAAATTAGCCCCAAGTAATAAACAGGCAGAAATTACTAGCTTTTCTCTATTAAATCTTGTTTTGACTTACAACTTTACTTCTCTCCTTTCCCTTTTTCTTTTAGGCTGTCCAGACTGCTGCTCAGATTGCCGGCTCTGCGATTGATGAATGCCACCATCACGGAGGAGCTGTTTTTCAAAGGCCTCATTGGGAATGTCCGAATTGACAGTGTTATCCCACATATTTTAAAAATGGAGCCTGCAGACTATAACTCTCAAATAATTGGTCACAACATTTGAAAGCTGTGATCACAGTGTATAAACTTACTGTTCCTTCCTGGAACACAAAAAGATACCAAATTGAACTCATTGCTTCCAGGGTATCTGGAAATTTTGACTTTAAAAGTAACCAAAATCCAAGGTATTTTTACTTTAGCTTTCTCACGAAGAATTTTTGAAGTGACTGGACAGTCAGCAGGAATTAGATTTCCTTTTCTGTTTCTGTTTTATATTATAAAGCAAATAAATTAGTCTTTTCTCCCCTGAATTGTGTTCTATTCATATTTAACTTTATTGTGAACCTAATATACTTACTGGTCAGTTAGCTCTAAGGAGAAATTCCTTGTATTTTAATCTTCCATCATGTAATCTGTTTTAATTGCCATGTCAAAGATTATTTTATGCTCAGTGATATAATAATGTTAGAACTATAGGAAATAATAATCAAATATATATTTTTGTCTTTGTAAATTCATGATGTCCTTTACCATATACCACTCACTGCTGGCAATGAGATGTAGGCCATTCATGGCTTTTAATGTTATGTTTTATTAGTTACCAGCACTTTTTATTTAGGTGGCAGAAAACTGGTTTTGTGGTTAAGATGGGGTTTGTTCTTTAGTATATTTTGTTTATTGCTGTGCTTTAAATATAGTACCGACTAAGCCCAAAATATTTCACTATTTCAAAATGGGTATTAAAACTGTTGCTCTTGCATATTCCACAGCAAGCACCTGAACGTCCCTTCTTCCTGTACCTGTGTTACAGCTTCCTGCCTCTGCCCTGCGGTTCTGCTGACTTCTTTCAGATTGTTAGAAAAGCTGGTCTGAGTTGCTAAATAATGGACTTGTAGTAGCCCATGTTTTCAAAAATCTATGGGTTAAACAGTTATTTTAAAGCAGTTGATAATTTTTAAAGGAATATGTACTGATTCTTTCATTGCAAAGCAGTAGTATTGAGGGGTTGGCTTGAGGCTATGTTTTGAGACAGGATCTTGGTTTGTAGTTCTGGCTGGCTTCGAACTCACTATGTAGCCCAGGCTGGCTTCAATTCATGGCAGTCCTCCTGCCTCAGCCTCTTGAGTGCTGGGGTTACAGGTGTGTGCCACGCATTCAAAAAAGCATTTTAGACTTTGATGTCTCCCACATCAATGTTAAAGCAAACCTGTTACTGTTAGATAGTTCTTTGCTCTGATTAACAGTGAGTTCTTTTGGTATGACTATCTGTTGATTTTTAAAACACAAATATGGAGAGTTTATTGTACTCAGTACATTTTTTATAAAGATTTTTGCAGTGGAAGAGAAGCTGAAATTTTTGGGAGAGTGTAGATTTTACCAATGACTACTTTATAGTTGTTTTTTAGAAAAGTGTCAACATTTTTTTAAAGTATCAACTTAGTCTTTAACAGCTTATTGAGTAAAACTTCTTTCCCAGTTTAAATCATGATTTTTGTCAAGAGCTTTATTTATAATTCTCAGCTGGAGAAAACTACACTTAGTGTAAAACACTCACATGAAAAAGTCAGGGTCGTACCTTTATAAACCCCTGGTTGTAAACCAAGGATTCAGAAAATCCCTTAAATGTACTAATGGCTAATTAAGATGTTTCAGGTATTTTTTTCCTGATTAAATTTGTAGTTATATTTGGAAGTGTTTAAAAAACCATATTAAAATGTGGCTTGTATTACAAATTTTCTGCATTCTACCAATGCATTTCATTTCAATGTCCTGTGGTTCCGGGCTGAGCTCTCCTCTGCCCCCCAGGGCTGGGCTCAGCTCGGTGGTAGGGCCTCTGTCTGGTACACGTGGCTCCCTGGGTTGCATCTCCAGCACAAAAAGTTCCTGTCATCACCATAAGAGCAAAACCCTAAAAGCTGAACCCGCGTTGACAGAGGATGGATGAGTAAACGGTCCTGTAGTCACCCAGCGTGATACTGTCCAGAATGAAACAAAGGAATCAGTTGTCAACAACTGTGAGTCCACAGAATACACTGCATGAAAGCAGCAAGTGCAGAAGCACACAGAAGAGTATAATTTAACAGACTATTGAAAAAATGCAGTGCAAGTGTTGTTAGGGGCTACGTGTGACATGAATCGTTGAAAAGCAAGAATTAGTAATACTAGATTTAGATGCTGGTTACTTGTAGAGCGGTAGGAGGGTGAAAACGGAGGGATATACGAGGGTTAAAGAGCATCGAGAGTGTTGAGTTATTTACTCCCTCACCACTGCAGAGCACGGTTTCAGACAACATCTGTTTTGCCAGTGAGTCTACAGCATGGACGGCGGGGTAGAGACCTGGTATCTCCGTGGCTTCAGCCATAGCAGGGCCTGCTCCGAGGGTGGCGCCGCCATCTTGGGAATTGCCCCCCTGTGCGGAAGGCCCACCGACTGTTGGCTGGCACCTCAGGTGGGCTGAAGCCGGAACATGTCCATAGCCCCTCCGTTTTGCTTCCACATGGCCTAATGGCTGAGTTCCCAGAACAAGGGTTGATAGAGCCAGGAGAAGCCACATTGCCTTTCTTACTGGCATTAGAAGTCACCCAGGGTCTCTTCTGTATTGTGTTCATCGAAGAAATCCTGCAGGTCTGTACAGTTCCAAAGGGAAGAGAGAAACGGCATGCTAGCACACGCACTCCTATGATCCTGACACTTGAGAGGCTGAGGCAGGAGGATTGCGGCGACTTTGAGGCCAGCCTGAAGTACACAGTAAGAGCGTGTCTCAAAATAGAAGTCAAAATTACCTCTGTTCACAGATGACATAATCTATTAGAACCCCCCAAAATGGTTAAAATTAATAAATATAGCAAAAGGGCCGGAGATTTAGCTCAGTGGTTCCGCTGCCTGCCTCGCAAGCCCAAGGTCCTGAGTTCGATCCCTGGTACCTCAAAAACAACAAAAAAAGAATGAGAATAAATGTAGCAAAGTTGCAGGATACAATAGCAACAAAAATCAGTTGCAGTCTGCATACTGACGACAAGTCAACAAGGAAATAGAACAGTCACATTTACAATAGCATCACATTAGGAATAAGCTGCTGGGGATTTAGCTCAGGGGTCCCGACGCCTGCCTCGCAAGCTCAAGGTCCTGAGTTCGATCCCTGGTACCAAAAAAAAGTTAGGAATAAATTTAACCAAGGAGGTGGAAGACTTCTACACTGCAAACTACAAAACTTGCTGGAAGAAATTAAGACACAAATGGAAAGCCATCCATGTTCAAGAGTTGGAATGCTTAATACTGGTAAAATGTCTGTACTACCAAAGGGATTCTACAGGTTCTGTGAAATCCCTATCAAAATTTCAACAGCATGTTTTGCAAATTTAAAAAAATCCTAAAATTCATATAGAATTTCAAAGGACCCCAGGTGGCGAAAAACCGTCTTAAAGAAAAAGCTGGAGGCTTCTCACATCCTGGCTTCAAAACAAAGCTACAGCAACCAGAATGGTGTGATCCTGGCATAAAGATTACATGGAACAGAATAGAGAGCCCAGAAATAAACCCTGAAGTACTTGGCCAAATGATCAGCAACGAGGTTGCCAAGGCAAACCTGGCAGGAAGGACAGCCTCTCCCAAGAATGGGGTCGGATCAGGCGTGGTGGCCTTGGGAGGCTGAGGTTGAGGACTGTGGAGCCCAGGAGTTCTAGGCCAGGCTGGACTATAGAGTGAGACCTGGTATCAAAAGCAAGCCAGGACAAAACAGCACACGCTGGGGAAATTGGATATGCATATGGAAAAGAATGAATATGTGAAAGAATGAAGTGGGCCCTTAGCTCGTATACAGAAATTAACTGAATGGATTAAACACCTGAAATAAAAGAAACCATAAAACTCCTAGAAGACAAAGGGGAAGCCTTTATTACACTGGGTTTAGCAGTACTTTCTTGGGTATGACCCCAAGGCACAAGCAACAAAAGCAAAACAGCTGAAGGAAAAGGTGATTATGGAATGGGAGGTAATACTTGGTGTGCCAAGTAGTTCTGATTGTCAACTGGATATTTAATGATGTTAAGGAATTATTTACTTTTTCAGGTGAGATAATATGTTGTTGAAAGACTTCTTAGACATTGAAATATTTCGGGTAAAATTAAAAATTAAAAAAGCAGAAGTTACTGTTCATTATTAACTCAAATATGACATGATTATTCTGAACAATTAGAGTCTAAAAGAAAATTTGATTCTAATGGAACTTTCTCCTTTGGGGTTGAAGATTGGCTAACAAAATTGCAATCCTTTTCAGGGTGCAGTCATATTACTTGGTCTTTCTAGAAATAATACTGCATTTCAATGTTCAAAACAATTAGGAAAACCTGTAGTTAGAAAAGAATGTTCATGTTACAAATCTTGACATTTTAAGGAAATGACATAGTTGGAGTCTGAAAGCACAAGATAGGAAGTGACAATGCGCTGTTTCTCTTCACAGTCCAAGAGGGGTCGGGAATCAGAGTTTATTTATTCATCTTGTGTGCGCGCATGCGTGCACGTTTGTAATACTGGTAACTGAAACGTGTTTGCACTGAGCTACATTCCCAGTCCTTTTTAATTTTTTGAGACAGAGCCTCAGTCTCTTTAAGTCCTCCAGACTGGACTCGAACTTGTGATACTCCTTTATAATTTTTAAATTTCACACGAGTTATTTTTCTAATAAAATTTTAAATGCTTTTCAAAATTTTAACTTGGTAAGTAAAATATGAAATCTTTGAGAACACATACTTAATCTTACACTTTTCTGTTCTCCACCTTCCCCTGTCAACACAATGACAGTATATGTGCTTAATATCATGCACTTTCAGTATCTAATATGCAGTATCAGAATGTGGTCAACAAATTCCTTGATGATCTTGTTTCTAAAGCATCTTAGAGCTGGATGGGATTTTGGAATAGCTGAAGCAATCATTTTAATCTTTATTTTGGTTTTTTGAGACAGGGTCTCGCTATGTAGTCCAGGCTGGCCTCGAACTCAGTAATCCTCCTGCCTCAGCCTCCCGAGTGCTGGGATTACAGGCGCGCGCCACCACACCCGGCGAACCAATCATTTTTAAATGAAAACAATGGAGTTTTCAAAGAGAAATACCCGCCCGGGGAAGCCTGGTGTAGATGAGGTTTCCATCACCTGCCCCCTTATCCCAGCACTCTCTGAAAACACAGAAGTGCACACTCAGCACCTTTGCTCGTGGCTGACGGCGCCTTTGAACGCCGGTACAGAGGAGAGCTTCGTATCTGCGCATGCGCAGAGCTAACTTGTACAGCACACCAGTAGGAACCTTCCGCGCGTCGGCTCCTAGCAGCTGAGCGGCCGCTTCCGTCGGGTGGGTTTTGCCTGGTGCACCCGGGAGGCGGGGCCTGTGGGACAAGATGGAGTTGGTACAGGTCTTGAAGCGCGGTCTGCAGCAGGTCACTGGCCACGGCGGCCTCCGTGGCTTGCTGCGAGTTTTCTTCAGGTACGCGTCTAGAGCTATGCTCTTGGTCTCTGCGGATGGACCAGCGCCTCTGGTTCTTGGGAAGGGGTCCAGGCCTGGGTCACCTTGGAGACGCCAGGGTGTTGTCAAGGACACCGGGCCAGAGTCCGGTCCAGTCTCTGCCTTCCCTTTCCCGTGGAGGTCTCCGCCCGGCGACCTCAACACAGCACCTAGCCGTCTCCGGAGACGGAGCTGTGAGACAGGCGAGCCTGGCTGGTGACCTTGGGCGAGTGTCCCTGCTCTGTCCTCCAGGTCCCTCCCTGGACAGCCGGACGGTGAGGCGGCGGTCACAGCGCTCGGTGCTCGTCCTGAGCCGGGACGAGCAGCAGCAGCAGTCGCACAAAACGAACTAGGGACCAGAGTGCAGTGACAGAGCCAGAGCCTGGGGTCCTTGTTAGACGATGAAGTACTCTTAACTTACGACTCCCAGAAGGTTTTGCTAACTCCAGCGCCGGTTGGCGCAGGAATAGTACGTAGATAAAAGTAGTCCTGTAATTTTAAAGATTGCATTTATATTTATAGTGCAATTTAAGCACACCAGTTGGGTCAGTTTATTTTTGCCCATCCTGTCTGCATGGTACTGGGGAGCGTGGTGATAAGGATTTCTAGGGCCGGGGATTTAGCACAAGGTCCTGAGTTCGATCCCTGGTACCAAAAAAAAAAAAAGGATTTCTAGAGTTCTAACCTGAAAGCTGGTTCTTAAACTTTGAGTCCAGAGAGCCTGGAGGTGTCGGTGGGATGTGCCCTTATAGTAAGGATCCATCCCTGGCCAGCATCTCATTTTTCTAATTGTTACAGCAGCATTTGTCTCTGAAAGTTGGTGCTCTCACCCTATTTCTGTTTGTGTTTTGAACAGTGGGCTGTTCTGACACGACTGTTTTCTTTTGGACATTTACAGGGCCAATGATGTGAGGGTCGGTACATTGGTGGGAGAAGACAAATACGGCAACAAATACTATGAGGACAATAAGCAATTTTTTGGTGAGTGCAGTACTTTTGGTGAGGATAATTGGATTGGGGTTGGGATTTGATAAGAGTGTTTCATACTGTACAGGCGATTTTACAAAGCACTTGGGAAAGGATGAGAAGGTCATAGAAAAACAGAAAAAGATAATTCACAGGAAAAAAGTTAATGAAGGTATGGAAAATGCTCATCCTCACTTATAATTACAGAAATGGAACTTAAAGCACACTCAGCTGAGTCCCCAACTCTTTTTTGTTTTTTGAGACAGAGACT